AGTCCTTATCGGTATGCCTCTAGTCAGTACATCCGCCAGGTTGTCTTCACCCGGGCAGTAGCGCCATAACGCTTTTTCAGTAAGTTGCGTTATTTCCCGATGTGGCATATAATATATGGTGTGATCTCGATCCCGAGGAGTATCCTTAGGCACCACTTCCGCGTGACCCATCTCCAGATATTGCCGGATTACTCTGTCATATCGCTGCAACATTCTTTTCATCGTTGATAGCCTCCGTGTTAATCTTTGTAGACGTGATAGCGGAATTTCCCGGTTGTTACCTTGAAGCGGTTCCTTATTTTCCTTCCAAGGCAACGCCGTACCTGTCGCTTTTCTTGCTAATGGTTTCATGTAATCGTGCAACGGACTCATGGGAGGAAGGTGCCGTTGAATCTGCGATGCCCATTGCTTCTAGTTGCCAAAAAGATTGCAAGATCTGCGAGGTTGATTCGTCATCAACAATTGCTTGTACTTTCAGAATGCGGACCATTAGGCTAGAGCTGCAGTCAAGAAAGGCTTTTCGGTGACTGGGTCCTTGTAGCGTCCATCCAAAAGCTGTATCCATTGCTACCAGTCCTGGAACTTCTGCACTTTTGACGATACGTCCTGACATGATTTGCCAGAGGTGGTCAGCGCCGATCAACAAGCTGAGGCTATTTTCCGTTTCCGCATCAAACTCCTTTTCGTCCGCAATGGCCTTGCCTTCAAGAAATGGCTGTCAGCTTTCGGGGAAGCAATATCGTGGCAGATAACTGGAACAACGATTGCGCGCACCGTGTAGGTGTCAGAACCGTGTTGGCTACGCAGAGGAACTTCCACCACTTGAAGTCTTTCCACAGTACTTGGTGATGAACAGCCAAACGTATTCAGCGCAATTTGAGTTTCGCCCAGCACCTGTAGGTGTAATGTCTTGGCGAGATCTTCCGTGACGAAGGATCGCTGGCTCCCTCCATCGAGAATCCCTCGGACATACCTTGTTTTGCCGTTTTTGATGACAAAGGCGCGAAACGTTTGTAAAGACACTTCACTGTGATTTGTTGTGCCCCCGCTCAGTGAATCCTTCTCACACAGCATGACTGATTGTGACGACACCATTCCTACTGTGCTGCCGGAGGAGTCAACTGGACGAGAAGGTGTCGCTGTTTGGTTCGATGTATAGTGCGGGTCACACATACTTGATGCGTGCCTCCCGTGGCAACTCGAGCAGGTGAGTTTGACGCGGCAAGAACGTGCCTGATGTCCTCGGGACGTGCATCGATAGCAGCGGTTGTCTTTTGCAAGCATTCTTTTCTTCGTATCGATGGCAAGGTTCACGTCACAAGCGCGGGTGCCATGTTTCTTCGACTTGCAGAAAAAACACTCACCCCAGCTGTTCGATGTGCTGTGTAGTACGGAAGCCGTGCTGGTGCTGCCGCTTCGAGTCCTCTGTGAACGGTCATCCAGCAGTCGGTCATTAAAGGGCTTGCACTGCTCCCGACTTTCTAGCTCTATACGTGTATAGGTGAGCAGCTCCTTTAACTCCGCATCAGATGTAGCAGCTGCCACGCTTGGCTCAAAGACATTGGCAGCAGACCCGTTTTCTCTTAGTGCCTGACTGCGCTTTGCACGTGTGTAGGCCAAAATGATGTCGTACGGTAGGGCGTCCTGTAAAATGTCCATCAGCATAGCGGAAAAGCTAAGCGTAGGAACATTTAGTGCAGTTAGACAACGGATATTCAGCTGCACAGCATCGTAAAGTCGCCTAAGGCCGCGGACGTCGCTTCCCGACTTGATGTGAGGTAGATTGCGAAGCGCTGATAGGTGGTGTTGCTCGATCCGTTTTCGATCTCCGAAGCGTTCCTTCAATAACTCGATGGCGTCTGCATAACAGGCTCCGGAAGTCGGAAAACCACATATCGCAGCTGCCGCTTCACCCGCAAGATAATGACGTAGATAGAACTTCGTCGTTGTTGACAAAGCGTTGTTCAGGTGGACAGTTTGCTCAAACTGCTCCCAGAAAGCCGACCATTCATGTATATCACCTCTAAATGTTGGCATGCCAAGGTTCGGCAGCCTTGGGCCAATTGCGGTTGGCACGTCAGATGGTGATGCGTTCTGAGGAGCAGCCGCTGCTGTGCTGTCTCCATGTCGCAAACCGTCTATCTTGCAGCGAATCTCAGCGAGCATGCTTATAGCTTCGTCGTTATACACTGCTGCCGCGATATACTCAGCTTCGAGCTCCTCGTCCGCTACGTGCTCCTCGAGTGCATCATTGATCTTCGAGAGCTCGTTGTTGCTCGCTGACAAACGGTCATAAATACCTGTGAGTTTGGGCTTGTCCGCGGTAGGGTCAATTAGCAGTGACCTTGCTTCTTGCAGGAGCTTGGTGTTCTGGGCTCGTCGAGCGGAGCGCTTGGTCTTGAGGCGATCCATCGGATCCGGTGTTGGAGTCTAGTCCGGCCTACGCCGATCAGGAACGATTCGTTGCAGTCCTCGCCGCCCGCAAAACGACGCGGTCGAGTAGAAGGTCCCCTCGAGTCGTGCGATGAAGGAGACGTGTCCGCACGAGGGGTTTCGGCACCACGATGTAAAGGAAAACTACCGATCGGCGAAGAAACCAGACCGAACGCCGTTTCTCCTTTTCAACTTCTTCTTCTCTTGCAGTACTAGTCTGCACACGTTTATTCCTTTTCTTTTTCAACAGGCGCGGCGGGAGAGCAAATGGGCTTATCCACGCCACGAGCGAGAAGTACTACACAGGGTGCCGCGAGCACATCTCCGTTGTAAAAGTGATTCACGGAGACACCGGGACAAAGGCGCTCGCGTTGGCTTCGAAGAGATGCGGGTCGGCGCAGCTTGACCACGCACTAAGACACCGTACCGCTCTTCGGCCTATCGTTCGGCAGGAGGGCGACATAAGGTAAGCGTTCGCCGCGGGCGCAAGGCGCTGTTGGCGAAGTCCGAACGAGCCCCTAAGGGAGCTGACGGACGGAAAAGGAAAGCGTGCTTACCCCCACGTCGTCCCCGCAGTCTCTCGCGCGCGGCGCCACAGTCCACATCCGCTACCGAGTGAGAGGGGTCAAGCGCCACTCCTCGCACTCCCAGCGCGGCAGACCATGGAGGAGGGGAGTCATGTCGGGACATGGGAGCGGAGAAAGAGGCGGCAAAGCTCGCGCAAAGGCGGCGGGCTAGCCTCAATTCCCACGACCTGATGGTGTTGTGCGCATATTTGTTTTGGTCCCTCAGAAGGTCATAACAAAGGGATCTGTCTGTGTGATGGGAGTAGTCACCGCTGCTTACCAACGGAAGAGCTGAATATGTTTTTAGAGAAAAAAAGAAAGGAAGTTCTGCAACAAGGACGATGCAATGAATGTGATAGCAGGGAGTCGGAATGTTGTATGAAGTAAGGCTATCAGATAACTTTTCAAAATCACACCACGTGTAACTTCAGAACATTGATGTAAGGAAATACAGTCACTCGAGGGAGCGACGGGGTTTTCATGCTATCATCTCAGCGTGAAGCAAGCAGCGAGCACATACAAAAGTATGCGAGCTGTTCACGGGTGCTTGTCGAGGTAGTGCTCTCAAACACAAATTCTTGATTAAAGTTTGCTGTTGCTGGTCGAGTGACACAGCAAATGTGATAAAAAAACGTGTGCAAGACAACCTTATGGCCACTGGCACCAGCAGGCATTTGAATTTATTCCCTTGGCCTTTCTCAATGGTAGCAGTAAAACTTCATTGCACTGAAATTGTGGACATATACACTTAATTTATATTTGGGTAAAAAAATACATCATATACTTCAAATACTTTATGATATTGCCGCGCCCGAAACAAAGAACGAAGATGATGTGCGCGCCAACAGCCTCATGAAAAGGGGGGCTGAAGAAGACAACGTGCTTTTGTTTTGCTCACCTGCTCTTGGCTTCTGCATAAAAACACACTCCGTCGGTTCTCGGACTCAACGTCTCGGTGCACTGCTTGTGTTGAAGCGCGACAATATTGAGAATTTCATTATACTGAAGCCGTGAACATGGTGAAACTTACGAGACAGAGCTTGGCGTTTACTAAAGACCTTGACAAACGTGAATAATTCAACGCTTTTCTATATGTAGCACTGCAAAGTCTTTTCTGTCATCTACTGCAGCCAAGATCTCGTGCTGTGCTACCTTTTAGACTAAAACGCCTCTGGACATATGATGCCATCTAAGTCCTCACATGGCTTTTAAGATGTCCAATGTGCTGGTGCATGTGAGCGCCAAGAATTGTTCTCTTGATGACCTTACGCATTTTCGCACAGCTTGCTAGAACACCAGTACTGCTGTGTTTGAGGACCTTGTGAGATGTGGTTTCGATTGTGGTTAGAGGTGGAGAATTATTAAATGACTTGTTCTTGTCTCTGTCATGTCAATTTGGGTCACTGGATGTTCTACCAAACTTGGTGACACACACTTATTTACTAAGGTTGCAAGAAACAGTTAGGTACAAGCACCGTACAAGTACATGCAGCAGAGTGACCAAATATATTTTAATAATGCAATGGAAACTAACACAAGGTGGGTTGCTAGAGCTAACATTACCACATGCAGTCTCCTATTCTTCAAGGCTGCAACTGCATAGAATATGGTTGATACTCTCTTCTTGACACACCATGTTAAAGAATTTTGCATCTCTTCAAGCTTTCATCTTGCCCTGAGCATTAGCCTTTAAAAAAATGCTGGTCACACAAGCTACATAGACACCAAACATTGTTGGCATTTGCCAGAAATTCTGTTTTCATTTAGTTACCATCCCCAAGTATTAATTATGTAATAAAATTGGCTCTATGTTCACCAGGAAACACCTCTTTAATGGCAGCTTGTGGTGCCCCAACAGTGGACTAGCCTGGTGGTAACCATAGTTTCTTTTATACTGAACATCTTGTCCTGTGAAATGTTTCTCACTACGCTATTTGTTAACACCCATAAAGGACAGGCTCCTTTTCCACTGCTGCCTGAATCAAGGCACAATGACAGCACTTGTGTTCAAAGCATTTATTTCTTGCATGCTTACACTGCATTGCATTTCTCAGTAAAATTGCCATGCTGCAGTCTACATTGCTTATGGCTGCCTTATTTACCATATAAAAGCCAGTACGTGCTTACAATGTAAACTCCGTGACACTACATATTGACTGCACTCTTCTGGTCGATGTGTCCAGACAAGAACACAAGGTTTTGGTCATAATTCACCACACAGTCTTATACAATAGCCTAGAAAAGAAACTGTTGCTGTGTTTGTTGTACAATTATGGAAATGATGGAAAGTACAAGCTTCAGATTGAATAGCGTTAACTAGCAAACTGTGTACGAATCTTTTCGTACAGTTTCGGTTATCATGTAGCATAGGTATTGACGTGCGGTGCAAAGCACTCAAGCAGCGTGTTCATTGCTCAAGGAGGCAGAAAACCGCTGGGTCTCTTCGTCAGCTGCTACACTGCAACTTTACAAGCCATACATAGTTTTGGGAAAGCATTGCGCAGTTACCGCTGGGCATAGACGTGGATATCACACAGAGTTTCCGTCTTCTTGAGAGCGTCGTGTCAAAACTCTCCCAATTCGACTGCAAAACTGTAGCTAAACTAAGTAAATGTGCAGTCACGCTCCTCTTACTCGTCTTCACAACAAAACAAGAAATATGTTGGGGGCAGGCCACTTAGACAGACGCACCTGGCATTGTAGCAGACGATGCGTTGTTTCCAACTCAACACAGTACTGCTATTTCCATAGATAGCTAATACATACTTTCAAGGGAAAAACATGCGTGTTTGTTTTCAAGTGTTGTAAAAAATAATCTATCATATCCTGATGTGAAATCTGGAACACAATGGCTGAGCAATTTGTCCAGGTTTCATTTAAATCTCATGGTTGCGGAAACTTTTTGCAGTAAATTTTGCATACAAAAGAATGAAGCAGCTTTGGATTGAAAATAACTTTATATCACTATGTTTTACACTGTGAAAAGAAGCCTCGCGAATCTTAAGAACGAAAGCCTTTCGAAGCACATCCGAAGCCTGTATTCCTATGGTTGTACAAGTGTCGCTGGAGAAGCCCACATAGACATTAGCCCAAGATAACCCTCTAGGTATTGTAGTATGAAACTCTATGCCATTTACAATGTTTATTGAATTTATTCTAAGTGCAAGTTTTAAAGCCAGAACAATGATTTTATAAAAAAAGATAATTCGTTGCCTAGAAATTGAATTCATGAAATTGGATGAAAAAATACATTTTTGCCACTTTTCCCCTCTCATGAATTTTAGTGCCCTTAGCAACAACAAAAAAGTCAATTTCATGGTCAAAACATTCATTCCCATCAAAGAAGAAGCTCAATGAAATATTCTGAGTAGTCAATATCCCTTTGCTATTGAATGAACTGAGGAAAAAAGTCACTACTCAAACAAGGTAAACGGCACAAAATACCTGTATTTCAAGTATTGTTGAGGATAAGTTAAACTGAGGGTAATAAAACTGGGCACATACCGAATTAGATATTTGACATTACACTTAGTACAATTCTTGTTGTTTTTGCATTGACTATAATAATTAAAAATTGCCACTTATACATAGGTGGTTTACCATAAACACCAACGTTTTGAAAATAGTTTTCTGAAAAAAAAAAAAAAAGAAAGCCATTTTCAGTTTCTTCAAAACCTCTCCAAATTGTAGCCGAGAATGTAAAAAATGTTTCATTGTTTCGCTTGCTAAAAAGTTATAATGGGTCGAATACGACTAACTTAGTCTAACAGCTACACTATTAGTTGCTGCAAATCGGATGCAAGTTTTTCAAAAGGTTGGTAAGGTGGTTCCACTTCATAAGTGCTGTAACAGATATTTTCCCCCTAACTAAAGGTCAATATGTTTAATCAGTGCACTTGATTAACTTCTCGAGCACATCTTTATATGAACCAAGTGTTTTTTTCAAAGTTTGTTTTTTCCCCATGTCAAAATGGTTTCAGGAGGCAATTCTCATCTGAAAAGCAGCTACTCTCTTTTACCAGTATGTAATCTTTCTGGAGCTTCCAACAATAATTGCATAACTGGCTGCATCTTTTTAGATTAGAAGCTAAGTGTCAAGACCACGAAAATTGGGGTATCCTTAAAGGGAGACTAAAGTCAAATAAGTATTTACGTCATAGTAAAAGCTCAATGTATGACAACATCTAAAACGACAATACTATCCACAACAGTGCCCTACTTACTCAGATATTAAGCTAAATGCACAATAATACATGTGTCTCAGAAGGACATTCTCAAAATGATCTCGAAGACGTCAAACGAACTGTCTACAATTATACACTAGTAATCGATCGAGCTGCACTAAATAAAGAACCTTCCGTGCATCAAGAAACGCAATAAAATGCTGCTTGTTCATTTCTGTTTGATTCATGGAAAAAAGAACCGCCGGACATTACTACAGGGAACGGGGCGAGTGGTTCGAATATTCAATTTTTGCGTGGTTAATGGACAGGTAGTGCTATCTAGCGGAACCCAGTTGAACCAAAACACATCTGCTATCTCGGAGCCAATGGCAGGAAATTTATCAATGGCCGTTGTTGCTGCTGTGGCTATCGCCACTTTCGTTCAGCTGATACTAGTGTCAGCGGCCGCACAGTAAAGCTGGGCAATGTTGTGCACGACAGCAATGACGGGAAATGGCCCTCTTCTTGAGGCGGGTAAACTAAAGTGCGCTAACTCTATGTGGACGTGATTTTATTTCAAAATAAGCCCTTTCTTGGCAAAAAAATAATACTACGAAGTTTTTGGACCGCTATTTCGACAATCAATGTTGACTCAATAGTTGTCCTTTAAGCTTCGCCTTCAAGAGTTGAACACGACAGCGATATCCTGTCCCTAGTGCATACCGAGTTCAAAGAGGCTTATGTCAGCAAAGCTTTCGCATACGGCTACACTCTGTGTAATGGGTAGCATGCTTTGAACCACGGGCAATTGTGCGCTTGGAATCCTGTATAACTTCTTATGCACTTACTACGTGGCCTTAAGGAGAATGGGGTAGTAACCTATGTGCCTTTTGTAGTGGGTGGCGTGCTTTAAATAATGAATTAACGATAATCACATATTGTGACAACTGATCACAATGTGCGCTTGTACTACCCATTATTACTGCAATATTACAATTCGTACTGTGTAGCATGTATACAGGATGCACGTGTTTGTAAAGCATGCAAGTTACTTTCACTGTATTTCCAAGCAGAGGAAGTTGTTTTCACTATTTTCCCAAGAACACGTGTGGCTTTGTGGTAAAACACTTGCTTGCCATGCAAACGACACGGATTCGATCCTTACTAACCAGAATTTATCATTTATTTCATTTGCATCTTTCTCGATTTTTCGGTCACACACGAGATGATTTTTAGCTCACAACCAACGACGCCGACACCGAAATTTCTGCGAAACGAGCTCTTTAACACTATTGCGTTAAAGATTTTTTTTTTGAGAACAGCACGTGTGTGTGTGTGTGCACTCTTTTCTCTCTGCATCTCCCCTGAACTTTTAGCATTCTTAAAAATAGGTGACCAACATGGCCACTTTGCCATATTGATGAACCTTCCACAGTAATAAAAGCACTACTCTTGCCACAAGAAGGCCCTAGGTAAGTTATAACGTGTTTGCTCCAATTGGAATTCACCCAACCATGCACCAATCACTGCCCTATAAGCCATTCAATATTGTACTGCCTGTCATTTTTTTATTACTCCCATTATGCTTGTGTTTTTTTAATGAAAGCTAATTAAGGTCCACCAATTCTTCAGTAACCTTACAAATAATTCCGCTTAAACATCTTTCACAAAACTGCCTGTCTCGCGATTTTGACAATGGGGCATGTTTTCAACTTCAGAAATGCGACGACGCTGGCTCGGTAACAAAGGTGGGGCAAGAGAAAGCTTCTAGAATAGTAGTTTATCCACTGTAACAAGCTATGCATGCAACAACCGCGGTCCCCTATAGGATGTGTACAGAGACTAGCAGTAGACAGGGTGACCTTAGCTGATTTAGTGCCAGTGCATACTGAGAATGCCACCCGCTTAGGTGGCTGAACGTCTGCGTAGTATTTGTTACATTTTGTTGTGCTAAGTCGGAGTACATTATTTTTTTAATCATGAACTCAACCAGCTTTTGGAACATTTTTGCAATAACCCATCACCTAAATATGGTCTTTTTCTTCTTCAGAATACAAGCCTGCATGGACTGATCATAAGCTCAGGGTAAATATTCCCTTACATTGCAACATCACTTGCTATGCCTTTTTTTTTCTGGGAGAAAGCAGTAACTAGAACCACCTTTCTACCTCAATTGCTGCAGAGACCTTTTAGCCGTCCAAGTTGCAGATAATAAATTACCATCTGACCATTCCGCCTAATGATGCCCTAGGGCTCCTGAGAGCACACAAATAAATACGTATGTAAATAAATAAAATAAACAGACAATTTCTCTAGTTCTGTTGAATACCGGCATCACACGGTGGGTTCTCTGGTCCCAAATGGAATTAAATTTCTTCCCTTTTTGCAGCTTGCCTAAAGGAGCTAATCATGATCAAGAAGCTCAATCTGAATTAGGCCCAATTGAGATCAAAAGTGATCGTGTGTCACCAGTTTTAGCCACATTTCACACTATTTTTCATTCACCTCATAAATAATGCCCCTGGTTCCCACAAGCCCTTTTAAAGCACCCCTCACCAGGTCTGACTATATTGAGCTGACGAGTGCAATGCATACACTGCGTGTTTACGATCACATCTGTTAAAATTTGCAATGCTACATACCGCGGAAATGTGCCAAATTTCAAGCTGAACACTGCTTGCCCTTCTCGCGGGCACGTGGCCACAGAATGAGGGGTTGGCGTACAAGATGAAATAGCCCTACGTAGTCGAATTGCTGTGACGTTGCTTCTCTACATACACCTGTGCTCTTACGTCACCGACAGTAGGCCATGACACTGCGATAATTATTTGACACGACGAGTAGTTCGTGTAATTTGTTCCTTGACAAGATAAAACTTGAGAGCAATAACAAACAGGCTAACAGCATGTGCGTGTTTTCTTTCTAAATTTTTACTGTGAATCGCCGTAAGATTCGAGACGAATTTACCTCTGTTTCACGTGTGTTCCTATTCTCGCCCTTTGCACACTGTGCAGACGCCTCCCCTTACAGTGAAACTTAAGCTCTACCGCACTCCAGCACTCATTTATTCTACAGCATCTAACTAAATTTTCATGCGGCATCGGCTGATGATACCGCTAGACTTTCGTTCATAGAAATGTTTCAGCTTTCAGATTCCGTAATAGGTTGAAAGCCAAGTGATCAGCGAGGGCACATTCAGCATAATTTGAGGATGAAGTGCAGAGAATACTGACACAATACTGGTAGTGTCATGGGGGCTCGGGCACATTATGAACTCATGACCTTGTATGCACATGACCTATTCATGTGTATGCATGTGATCCTCTCGCTCGCGTGCCGAAGAGGGCAGGGAAGTGATTTCGCATGCGAAGGCTAAACGGGGTGAGCAGCAATAGTTTGGAGCTTGCCTCTTCGCATCATGGTTTTGCGCCGCTTTAAAACATTGGTTTTCTTCGCTTCTAGAACTGATTAAAAAATTTTTGTGGCATATTGATTTTCATTAGATGCACAAAAACTTCCAGTGTGTAACTAAACTTCGTTATATCATCTGGTGAGGGGCCCTTTCATTGCATTACCTCTCAGAGTTGCTGCTATTGCAAAACAGCCCCCAAAAATTAGACTTAAGGGGCAAATAAAGTTTTGCCTTAAAGGTGGCGCAGTTCTGAACTGTGTCCACCAGCCATATCCCTCTACAATACCGGTAGTAGGGATAGCATGAGCACTGACCCTTTGTAACCCATTATAAAAGATATACCATCCCCAGGAACAGCAGCCAGCACCTGCAAGTATGAAGAAAAAACTTCCCTTCAGTACCTTCAGCATTCTTGCAGGAATGTTTGTCAGAAAGGTTAGCAGCTAACACAGCTCCGAGCAGTCATAAACGCAGTTTTTTTTTTTTTTTTCAAAAGATATTCGTGTGATCATGAGTGACAATGCCTGCGCAGATGCTCGTAATAAATAATTATATAAATGCCAAGCCGGAGTAAAACACGCAACACAGTCAAAGTGAAAGGTGGAAGAGCAGACTTTCTAAAGTGCATTGTAGAATCTCTTGGGGTAATTACTAAAGGTACCATTGAAATATACCCACTGTGACATGACTTTTCAAATTGAAGAAGCAGCCGCGATGTCATTATTTTGAGAAGAAGCAATGTACCCGATACACGTCTGCAAAGCTTTATGTGCCCTTAGTTGATGCTGTAGCTGATCATGATAAAGAATAACGGCTTAACACTTTGCAATGCCCTCCCCTGGCACCACCGCTGTTCATTAAACCTTTCACGTGGGATCCAAACAAACTTAAATGAGGAAGGCATGCAAAATAAATGGGTCATGCTTGCTATAAGGTTTCGAAACGTTATTTGTACATGGTTCCCTCCAGCATTATACTACATGTCAAAAACAAAATGCAGCCTGCATTACAGGTATCCGAGGTATGCAACGCGAGAATATATGCTCTTGCAACCATCCCAAGGATAAGTTAATGTTTCGGTAAGAACACTTTTCTTTTTTTTCCCAACCTGTAAAGACACTCATGTGCAGGATGTTATCCAAAAACCCACAATGAGCCGATGGTAAGGCGGCCCTAAATCATGTCTTGCACAAAAAAGGCACGACAATTACCTGCCATGCAACAGTTTGCTGGCGAGCATGGCCCCTGTAACAGTTTAAGAACCTACCAACTAGATATTACACACCTCCCCCAAATGACACACAAGTTATCAATGCAGGTCTGTACAGATACAGCCCGAACCTCACCTAATTGCTCTATCTTGTGAAGTATGATGATAGATGCCAGTTTGAGACAGTTTCTCACACAATAGGGCGTCAGCCGTCCAGCGGTCGGCCCAAATACACCATAGAGACCTCCGTGTTACCGTAGACAGCCGAGATAGCCGGATAGAGCATCTTGTCAGGCAACCCCCTGAAAGCCACTCCAAGGAATTGGTAGTTGCGCTCAAACGCAAGCGTATTATCTTCACAGTCTAGGATCACTCGCAGTCGCTCTCCCACCTAGAAAGGAGATGGGTGCTGATCAGGCAAAGCAGTACGGACTGTCGAAGCGCACAACGAATGAGAAGTCCGTATACCTGGTACTTCGGTGCATTGTTGAGCAACGGGTAGTTGCCCTGGCTGTCTCCGTTGTGCAGCAGATGGTTGTCTACCAGGTTCCAACCCCAGGAGTGCGCGTTAGAGCCCAGCAAGGCCACGTAACCGGAACACTGTAGCGGTGCCTCGCGTGTCGCGATTCCCACCACGGCGACGGTGCCGAGCGGCCCTTCCCACCAAACCTCCCAGCAGTGGCGGCCCTCCGCAAATCCACGCTTGCCTTTGGCGGCGTCCGTGCTCTGCGCCACCGGGTTTCGGTGCAGCGTGAAACCGTTCGACTTGATGTAGATGTTGCGCGAGCACTCGCGCGGATCCCACGCGTGGTAAAAGGCGCGCAACTTGGCTTTGCTACTCGGTACGCTCCAGAGCAAGTCGGACTTGAGTGCAGCATCGGCCAGTTTGCGCGCGCAGTGTAACCTCCACACGTCGTTGTTCTCGTCACTGAGCAGCGCGTGCCAGTACTTGCACACCAACGTGCAATTGCGAGCCGAAGTGAGATCCAGGTAGCTGAAGATGTGCTCCATAACGTTTGGCGGCAAGTGCGGCCACCCGCACTTGTCGCCGCCAAGAGCCGCGGAAGCCATGACTTCGACGTTTGCACTACGGTCGCTACGGTGCACTCGCACGCACGGAGCCCGCACGTCATACCGGGCGTCGTTCAGCCCGTGGGCTAGATGGTCCGGCGGCGACGCCCCACTTGCGTTTACACATGGTAATTATCATCAGGAAACTATTAAGGCAGGACAGAGACTAGTCCGCTGTAAGCTACTGGCACGCACTAGCAAAGTTATAATAATAAAAAATAACGGACAACTAAACAAGAATATCCCGTCGAAATAGCAAAGGCTCCATACGGGCTCCGTTCGCGCGCCAAAAACTTAAACAGCTGAAGCAGAAGGTTAGCTGCCAAGTGGAAACCGTACCGTAGCCAGCGAAACTAATTATATTAACAAATTGGAGATGGAAGAATCAAAACGAGCGCTTGAGGAGCTGTTGTCCCTTCTCAAGTGCGTTCAATGGTAAGCGGATGGTTGCATTTGTGCATGCCTTTCTACTTACCATGCGTCCTTGCAGCGAGGACCTACTTCAAGAGCCGCACATCGTCGGCCTATGCGGCCACACAGTATGCAGGTGAGTTTTACACCGCCAGATTAATGTGAGGTAACGCTGACTGCGCGCAACACAGGCGCTGCATCGGTCGCCGTGATGCGTGCGGCGTCTGTGGTTCGCCTACAACACAACGCGAGCTGAAGCCGGACCCACAGATTAGCAGCGTTCTCGCTTGCGCCGCAAAGCTTGGACAGCTCCTCTCAGGCTCAACACTCAGTGGTAATATTTCTATTCGTTGACGCTGCACAGCTGTAGAAATGATTTGACTGCGATTGACTGCAGAAACGGCACCAGGAGGGGATGGCTTGCAAGATGCTGCGCTGACCAGTGACGGTAAGATTATACAGCGACAAGTGCGTGCTAAAAGCAAACTTTCTACGTCTTAGTGGTGCACGTGCATCAAAAAATTATATGCATTTTCGCATGCGCTTTAGCTGCAGTTTTGCGTTTGCAAAATATAAATTTCTATTAATGTACCGGCATTTGCCACGGACTGTTTTCATGGAGTGTAATTAAATAGAAGCATTTTCTTGCAAACAACTTATTTACATTCACGTAATTTTACCTCGTATATATTGCACCAAGCTGGCGAGACTGTTGAACAACACTGCCTTTGTCGTTATTGTCACAATTGCTGTAAAATGTTGATTTCACAAATTATCTTGCATACATTGCAAGTGCCAACGTTTTCCTTCATAGTGCAGAACAAGCTATCGCTACTTTTTCTCTATGTGCAGAACGAGCTGTCGCTACTTTTTCTCTCTCTATCTTTGGTTCCCTCTTTACCTTTGCTCAAAATCACTAGAAATCCCCCCTGCCTTTCGATCGAGCTAGGCTTTAATACACTCGAGACGTGCACATACACACACGCATACTCGTGTACGTTTTCACCTTTTCCAAATGTGAAAAGCAAACCAACCAATACCAGCCGGCAGACAATTCACTAGTGAACTCGCAAGTTGGCAAAGGGAAGGAATTGTGCATGCACAAGGCCAGCATTGAACCACCAAGTGATGTTTATTCTCAGAACGTGCGTTCAATAATACTATTCATGACCATTTACAAGAAGGCATTACCATTAAACAAACAAAAAGAAAAAAATGATGCATTTATACACACATATACACATAAGAAGTAACGCATCATGTTACGTACGGGCCGTGTGTGCGCATTTTCCCCCAATGTCTGCCTTTTCACAATATTGAATACCAACTTGGCCAAACCAAAGTATTTTTGGCCAAGGATATTCTTGCTTTATGCTGTGGCTTGGCAAAATTATTCACTGCTTTCATGCGTGTTTTTCTTTGTTTACCACTATGCAGTGAGCACTGAAAAAGGCACCAAAGATGCTGGGCAACCTGATTCACCTGCAAGGAGTATTCCTCCTAAAGGAGCCCAAGGTAAAAGTCAAGTTTGCTGCTTTGTTTCTCATTACAGAGAGCCAGGGCAGTTTAGGATGACAGTTGTTTGCATAACAGGGAGGGGGGTAGGAGGTAAATGACAGCTCTCAATTTACACCTCTTATCTGTGATCACAGTAAAATTAACTGTTTTTGTTGTATGTAGGGTAGATATATAGCTTCCACATATTACAAAAGCTATGTAAGCTCAGCTATTGGCAACTACTACAGACAACTATGCCGCACAGGAAGTATAGCTGCACAAATCTAATGAAAATCTGTTCCCTGTTGAAATGCTGTTTTTATGTTCATAGTTGTGTGTATCCAGAGATATGAACACAGCTCCTCATTCTTATTGGCACACCGTCACATGCTGGGCAAACATATAAAGTTAGAATGGCTGCATGTCGTATGTGTGCAGTAACGGAAGTGAACAAAGGATGTTGCATCACATATTTCCTCGTTCACTGCTTTCATGCGTGTTTCTCTTTATTTACCACTATGCAGTGAGCACTGAAAAAGGCGTTAAAGATGCTGGGCAACCTGATTCACCTGCAAGGGGTATCCCTCCTAAAGGAGCCCAAGGTAAAAGTCATGTTTACTGCTTCGTTTTTTTTTTTTTTTTTCAGGTACTTGGGATGCGAGACAATAGCTGTAGTCAGACTGTAGGGGGGGGGGGCGTTCGCTCCCCTAGTTAACCTTGGATGGGGGAGGGGAAGGCAAGGTCGGCCTCGGACATTGACATAATTGAGGGGGGGAGGAGGGTGCTGCGATGAACCTTCACGCCCCCTCGTGCGTACGGCTATGCTCACACCAGATCTGGTGTGACGTCACTTCAACTTTCGCTGCCCTTCCTAGAGACCTTTTCACTGAAGGCTCCCTGGGTGCCGCCATAACCTCTCCTGGCTGTTGTTAACATGCATAACCCCCAAAAATGCACTGCTGAGGCTCTGATGTCGGCTTTTGTACTCTCGTGCAAGAGCCCAGAAAGGAGGTGATCTGTCTCTGTTAAAAAAGGCATATAGGGCCACATCAGTGTTGGGACGCGTCACCGACAGGATTCAATCGAGAGAATGAGCACTTGACTACACTTTGCAAGTAAATTGAAATATATTCTTAACATTTGCTACGTCAAACCAGTTGTGTGGAGTGTCCTTGCATACAGGGGTAATACACAAGAGTCTTGTTATAGCCTCAAGATTTCATGGCACCACCCCTTATGTAAACATGAATTGTTGTGATTGATCGTTGCAGTGGGTTGAGTAAATGTGTTAATTGAGTGCCTGCAACTTCAACTAAATGCAAGTATGAATGTGAGTAAGTCCATAGCCAGTAAAAATACTGGTGTCTATTTATGCTGGCTATCTCTAGCTGCTAATTCATACACCAGAGTAGACTTCTTTAAATGACAGCAGAAACATTAATTTCCTTCCTTGCTTGACTGCAGACGGAAACCAAATCTTGTGATAACTGTGGTTTGCACCTTTCATATTCTACAATGCACCTCACGTCTCCGAAAACTTTTGCTGTTGATAGAATTGAATTGTTAGCAAATGAAGTTATTCATATGGCATTTGCATGTAGAGAGAAGCAGCAGCACGGGAGTCAGCACAAGGAAGGTTGCAGATAGGCGGAATCGCTTGGGAGAAACACCTCTGCAAGTGGCAGCTATCAAGGTGCGTTTCACTGGCTTAGTCAGGGGCAGATAAATTTTTGTTATTGTTGATTGGAAGACTTTTGCTTCTGTTGGAAGTATGATTGAGCGTACATAGTTGCTGCCATTGACCTTGTACAGGGTGATGTCACCAGAGTGAAGGCCCTGCTAGGTGGAGGTGCTAATCCCAATGTTCGTGACAATGCCGGCTGGACACCTTTGGTGAGTAAAAGATTGGCTAAGGTAATGCATATTTTCATGTCAATGCATTTGCTTATTCAACCTATATTGTTCAGTTGGTTTTGCTTGCTCCATTTCTCGTCTCACTGAAGATGGGTAAAGTTTGTGATTTGTTGGTCAGAAGCATTAAAGGCTATTTAATATATGTATGGCAATTGTGTACTAAGATTGCGCATAATATTTTCATGTGTTTGCAGTTTACCATTATCATAAATCAGTGCTTATGCTTGTACTAATATAGTTCACCCATGCATGGCAACAGTGTTTTCTGCTATTTCTATGATGCCTTGAAGCATTTTAATGATGCATTTCTATGACACATTGTGGCAACACTATGCCACAAAGGCGAAGAGCGTGTGGGTCTCTCTCATCAACGTTGTCTTTTTTTGACTGGTAATACCAGTTGAGTGAGTTTTTCATGCAGGTGCTAGCAATGTGCCAGCACCTTGATCAGAAGTTTTGCCACATGCCAATCGTTTAAGAGTCTAAGAAGATTGCATAAGTGCTGCCTTTGAGTATGAGGGAACCCAGAAAATAAAAAACAATGCAATTATGCTTGTCATCACGTGTGACATTTTACCTACAATGTGGTTTTCTGAAGCCTCACTTGAAATTGTTCACTCATCGCAATGTGCTGTTGGTGGGTTATTGAATGTGCCCTGTGTTATGTCCAGCACGAGGCCTCCAGTCAAGGTGCTTTGGAAGTGGTACGCCTGTTACTAGCAGCTGGAGCATCTGTCAATGCAGCAGGCCCAGACGGTGTCACGCCGCTACATGACGCTGTGCTCAGCAATGTGCCCGATGTGGTGCTACAGCTATGCAGTGCTGGGGCTGACATAAATGCCAGGTACAGGCCCCCACCAAAACACAAAGCCACTCAATTCAGCATGCAGAAGGGGATGGGTGCTTGTTTATGGCACTGCTTCATGCGTGTAATCTGGTTAATAACAAACACGGTAACAGTGCCTTTCTCGAAAAAGCCTTTATGGCGTACCTAATGCAGGACCAACGATGGCCACACCCCTGTGTCATTTGCCAAGAGTGAGCTGATGAAGGCTGCCCTGCAGTCACCTGCTGCCCCTAAGGTGCAGCAGCTGCCTCAACCACCTCAGGTGCATCAACTAATGTGCAGAATACATCTGTTACCTCATGTACTATCAACGTCAAATGAAACCCAAACAGCGACAAGCCTTCGCGATGGTATAATGCACACCGTCCACCTACACCATGGACAGGCTCACATATATGCACAGATATGCCGAACAGGATGTGCGTGCCTGTCAATGGTGATAAACGGACGGTGCGCAATATACCATCACAAAGGCTTTCGTTTTATTTGACGCCGATAGTACTTCTATGCAAATATATATATATATAAGAGAGAAATGATTTTTTTATGGTGTCACAGGCACAAGGAAAAGTGCAGCTGCAAAAAGACTTCATTCAACAAGCAGATTATCAAGGCAGTGACCCCGTAAGACAACAGACAAGTTTCCACGTCTTAATTTGTAACATAGGTAGATAAGTGCAGTAAAAATTTGTCAATTCGAACTTATGGTTAATTCGAACTGATGCCAAGGTCCCTGCGCAACCCTGTGTAATTATGTGGAGGAAATCTGATAATTTGAATGGGTATTTATTCTCAATGGTTAATTAAAAATGAGAACCCCTGGTTTTCATTGGTGCTTGCAGAAGTTGTAGAAATAAGCCAAACCAAATAATCAAGAGCCTAAAAGAAACGTCTCTCATGATAAAGAGTGCTTACCAGCGCAAACGACAGGGCAGGAGGGGACAGGAGAAGAGACGAGACAGAGCGCTGAACTGCCAACAATTTATTTCTTGCGAAGGTCTTCTCTTTTATAACGTTTTATAAACGTTTCTCAGCAGACAAGAATTCAGACGCTGCGCTGGAGCACTTGCGCAAGTTGCAAACAATGCTCATGGGGTGGTGACAGAGGAAACGCAAGCAAGTAAAAATGACTGATTGTTTCAATTTTTGATTGCATTAACCCTGCTGCATAAATGAACATGTTTTGGGTCATAACTAGTCTCATATATTTCTGTTCACATCAATGCACGTCACTGCCTATTTACAGTGAATCACTGATTGATCTATCAATTCTGTTTGATGTTACAGCTTCATGAAGTTAATTTAAGAAAACTCCTGCCACAAACGTTCAGTAGCAACTAATTCACAATATAGAGTGCAGAGGCAGCTCCTTTGCGTTCTGCCCGTGCAGTATGACGAGATTCCTGTTCATTCTATCGTGCACCTGCAAATTCGAACTTGGCTTATTTTGGCCAGTTTTATATTCCCCTTCAACTTCAAGTTAACGAGATTTTACTGTACTATACATCACTTAAAAACAAACATGACAAAGCCCTTTAAGCAAAACAACAAAAAATTATACAAAGAAAAATTATAAAAGAAGAAAACTACCACATGAAAGTATTAACTGGGAAAAAAACTCCTTTCATTGCACTATGCTAGATAAAAGACAATACTAGGTTCACGGTGGTTGTATGTTACATGCGGAATTGTGTATTAAGAAGTCTGTCTGGCAGTAATAGAGGAAACAATGCGAAAACTGTCATGAAAAATTCTCACATATTGTTTTAAGCTGAACAAATACGAGATCGTTACTGCTGCTTGATGAGAATTCGTCTACTACAATAGCAAGCATCTATTTGCTATAGCTCCAGCCAAGTACAGCCCAGCGTTCAAAATTTAAATTGCAGTTGGTGTTTGCCCTTTTTGGTGATTGTTAAGTTTATTTGCATAGCTGTCAAAAGGCTACAGTAGTCCAAAGACAATACAGTATTGACAATGTCTAGCTGCTTAAATGTGTCGCTGCGTGCACAAGGTAACGGCTTTCAATATTAGCCTCTTTGTGGAGCAGCAGTCCCCTTGTCTTCTGCTGTAGAAGTAATCCATCATTTTTGAACCCCCGATTTTGATATGGAAGCGTAGAACAAAAGTTTTTCTACAAAGACTGTCAGGAATAGTGCTTAAAATGAAAATAATATGAATAGAAATACAAAAACTTGGATTGCATTCCTCAGTTACCTCAGCAGACAAAGGAGCCTGGTGCTGTGGTGCTGCTGGCTTCTGGTTTGGACGAGAGTCAGGGTCAGGCACTGGCACAGTGTGCAAAGCTGTTGGGAGGCAGCTGCACAGGAACTTTCTCTTGTCAAGGTCTGTGGCCACCACTTGCACGTGTTATGTGCTTCGAACATACTATACTAGTGCTTTGTTCGAGCCTTTATGTCCATGCACTGTGTAGTAAGTTATGCGCAAACTGTTTTCTCTTGCAGTCAGTCATCTGGTAGTGAGCTGTGATAAAAATGGCAATTGCTGCCAGCGGACACTAAAAGTGCTCAGTGCTATAGCTGCTGGAACATGGATTGTGAACTTTTCCTGTAAGTATATTTCAGTTCTACTGAGAACTGCCAATTATTAACAGTTGACTAATGTAGCTACCTTGTGGTAGGCTAAAATGCCACCACATGATGGCAAATTACAAGCAGGGTCTTATCTGCTTAATAACTATTCCTTTGTCATTGTTAGGAGCAGTTAAATCAGACAGGAAGTCAAGCTCTCTTGCTTTGAGCTCTGTGACAGAATACTACCAAGTTCAGTATTAGAAAATTTTGATTTGTATATTACAAAAGTGTGAATAGTAAGTGATCAATACTGTAAGGATGATGCACAAATTTTTCACCTTGACATGATGCGATAGAGTGGAGTATGTCAGCTACTTGGGTCAAGTTAATTGTTTAAGGAGGCAAACCTTTAAGGAAACCAGATACTTACCTAGTGAGGTAGGTAAGTTTTTTCTACAACAAAATGCCTGCCCAAAAAAAAAAAAAGATTTTGGCTCAAGACATCATGTTGACACACTAGCACTTAGATTTCAAAGCAAATCTTAAGCTCTAAAAACTCAGACCAGAATTTTTTGCAATGCTCAACCTCCCATCATATATACTACATGGATCCGGCTTTGAAGAATTCTATCTGAACTGACTAGCTGTTTCTGTGTATTTGCGAGACCGCTCGGTATTAAGTCTGCAAAATTTTACAACGGTTTTATTATAAGAGAGCAAGGTATGACTGCATGAAAGTATACCAAACTGCTGTGGTAAGTGGTGTAGTGAGAGGCAATTCACTCTCTCAGGTGACAAGTTATTCATTCAGAAGGGGTCTAGATTAATAGCGCTATACAGACCTGTAAGTGTTCTTTAAGATGTGCTGTTATGCAAGTTAAGTATCAATGCATGCTTTTGGTGCAGGGGTGGAGGACTGCCTGAAGCAGGGTTGCCACGTAGACGAGGCCTTGCACGAAGCTCAAGGGGTGCGTCAGCATCCAAACAACAAAGCTCCCCAGCGTGCACGTCTTAGTGGAGGGGGCACGCTGTTCTCTGGCTACAGTGTTGTCCTGCATGGCTCATTCACGCGAGGCCCCTCGAGGGACGAGTTGGCCACACTTCTCACACTGGCTGGTGCTCGCTTGCTAAGCAGAGTGCCCTCCAGTAACGATTGCAACCAGGCTGTGCTTGTGGTCGCCGATTCAACCACTGCAAGTCGTGCCCAAGCAGCCACTTTTGTTGACCCTGCGTGGCTGTTGGACTGCATTTCGTGTTTCAAGATCACCCTGCCTTCATCACCATAACATGCACTGTGGCATGCAGCAGCAGCTTGCCGTTATTCTGAATAAATGCATAGTAAGCTAAATAGTTGCCCCTCTGTCATCGTGTACTCAACTGCAGGAGTGGCGCACTTTTTGCTTGAACTCACTGGATATAAAAGGCACTAAAGTGCCTACATCAAAATAGGGTTGATCACAGAATAAACACATGGTACACTGCTTTAAGAAACCTCTTATATAAAAAACAAGGATTCTCCATAGTAAATGCTCTTTAAAAAAGGTTCAACTGTATATTGAAGCACAGATGAAACCCGATTTAATGAAGCGGTGACCACGCTCCATTCTGTTAAATCGAGAAGTTCGTAAAATCGAGAAAGGGTCATTTAGTCCTTCGAAATGAATTTGTAATGTAGTTTTGCCCAAAAGCAATCGCAGCATTGTGTTTGCGACTAACCCACACTTAGCATGTGAAAAGCCCATGAGGGGGCCTAAAGGTGGCCCAGACATTGATCCTCCAATGTCACCCAGGCGTGGGACACTTCATGACTATGCAATGCAGGCCAAGTCATATGATGCTATGACAGGCTGTCAATCTGCAAAGGTGCAAACAAATACAGTGATAGTGTGACCAGGCTGAGCCAAAACATTGGAAGGAGTCGGATCAACGTTATTGGTAGCGAAACCCAGCAATAAAAGCTGCTACCACCACACCCAGAGCCATCTGGTATGCAAGAGCATTACAACTGCAGATTTTGTTGTTCCTCGTGAAAGTAAAGCTAGACTAGGGTGCCTAGATTATTTTTTATTAACATGTTAGCATGAGAATGCACACTCGAAAAAAAATCCATCTGAGTCAGAATTAGAACCACTTTTTTGAGTAATTTATTTAGGAACAAGACTTCTTTTATTTTTCCAGAAAGTTTTCGTTAGATTTAGAAACTCGTATTACTGCATTTGCTTAGATCGAATTTTAACTGTACATTAATTCATGCTTGAATAGCAGGTCTACCAGCTTGAAATTAAGTTTTTCTGCTGCTCTTTAAAGGACTTCTGACAAAAAACTTGGAAACCTTGGATGCTTGCGCTGTTTGCTAGCCCTGCATGCAGAGGGCACTTCTGTCTGATTATTAGTGATGAGTGATTATTAATAATTGCCAATAAGATATTTTAATTTGTTATTAATGTGACGGTGAGTGCTCATCCGAGTATTTAGGTCCAACTGTCATTTTCTGTGGTTTGATGTAGACAGAGGCTCTGCGTGATGCTGCAGAGGTCAAGCAAGCTTGTCAACATCAAAACATTTGTGGGGAGCACACGATAGCCCGATTGGACTGGCACGCAGCGGGCTGCTCTCAAGGTGGTTTTAGCTGCTTACACCCCAGAAATGCTTTTCTATTTTCTGAGGGGGACACACTCAAAGCACTCACATAGTTTCATTCTTCACTACCCGTGGGTTCCCCTACTTGAAAATGCTTTGTTCGGCGTCACCGAAGCTTAAGTGCACGTAGTTGCAAGTGCTGCCCTGCTGTGGGACACTAGTTTCTTATGGTATTTAGAAGGGTGTTTCAATCTGATGCAAAAGCATTCTGAATGATCAATGATAGTATTAATTATATGCATTAGAGCATTTATGATTCAATTTCAGCATTAACCAAACATGATGCCATAAATTACTGTAAAAAAAAAGCTTCAAACAAAATTTTCACTGTCAGAGTTTCATTAAGAACAAAGCCAAGTTAATACAGCAATCCGCACACATCTCCTCGTGCAAGATGCTCTACAAATATTGGAGGCATGCACAATTCAAGCATTGTGCACCCATGCATACATCCTTAGCTGCCGCCATTATATGCTGCACCAACTTACTGTGTTAAGGTGTATTAATGAGCGTGTTGGTACTAAAGACGCATACTGGAACTTCTTAGCTGTACGAACTGTACAAGCATGCTGCTGCTCAATGTGTCTCTGGTGAAAGCCATAGGAAGGCTACAAGCTAATTCATTGAGGCCGAAGAACCATGTATATGTATGTATATATATATATATATATATATATATATATATATATATATATATATATATATATATATATATATATATATATATATATATATACATGGTTCTTTTCGATTAAGGCTTTTTGATTTGTTGGAAGTAGCACTTCGTCCCCTCTCACATTCTTCCATGTGTCAATAATGTATGCTGAAGTTTCATTATAAACTTACTGTGACATTTCTAACTTTGAACAGCTTGTTTTACAAAAAAAAAAGGAAACTTAATTTATTTGTGGGTGACAGTCTGCACAATTCTGTTTTTTTATATGTTGAACTGTTTCCATCTAGTCATTCGTTTGGTGGAAGAAACAACCAACCATTTACGATATAATCTACCTTATTTGGAATATAGTATTTTACAATATATGCAGCCTTTTTGCACTCGATATATAATCATACGACAAACCTGCGCCAATAAATTCAGACCGTTTTTTTAATAGTGAAGCCTTCGAATTCCAGTTCGTCAATGTTCTTTTCATTCACGAATGTGCAACTGTCGATGACCGATTGTGGACTACCCACTTTGGACAGCCAGTGTTTCCTTGAAAAAAAGAAAGAAAAAAAGGGGCGGAATTCAGAGTAAAGCCTGCTCCATGAACTACCATACTCTACGAAAGCCAAGAAATGCTCACATGCTGTTAACCTTGTCCGTGGTACCTTGAATAACGCCCTCAACAGTGCCCTTACGCGTGTTGCGCACCCATCCGCACACTCCGAGACTTTCTGCTTGATCCTTGGTGCACTAGATGAGACAAATATAATTCAATATAATCGCCGGATATTCTCAGTGCGTGCCAAATACTTACTTTGCGGAAGAAAACACCTAGAAGATAAAACGACACAGTCGTTTGGTTAAATCAGAAAGCAACTGCGGACGCCTCATACAGGTGTCACACGGCGCACTTTCGGGATCGAGTTTCTCGATGATTGGTCAAATTGCGGAGAGGTGCCAATCGCGGCCGAGAACCTCCATGCCCACCGGGGCTAAAGTGAGCTAGAATCCGGGGCTCGATGTCGCGATCGAAAGTGGCCGTGTGACATTAAATGGTAATTAGCCAACATACCTTGTACTTTCCCGGATACTTCAAAATCTGCAGTGCGCGGCATCTGCGAGGTTAGTAATCGAGGCGATGCGTTGCGAAATGAGTCAACTGCAGCTGAATGTTGCTCAATACGAGCAAGCAATTGACTTCCCCCAGTCTCAGCCCGCGACTATGGAACACCTTGACCGGAACTGCCGGAACCACATGCACCAGCCAACCTAGGTGCGAATTCATTTACTTCCGGCCACAACTATCACAACGGCTACAATACAGCCAAGTTACTCGCGCATTTTATTCAAGTATTTTTGCAAACATTCGGACTTAGGTGCCGATCTTCTTTTTTGTCGGGCGAGTAGCCTGCCAAACATGCCTTTTTCGAAATACGTTCGCGCTCACGTTACTTTCTTTTTATTTGAATGCCCCGCCACAAAAACTACCTCCAGTAAAAATTTGCCGTTCTTTTTTCACTTTGTTCGCTTTGTTTCAAATTTCCTCATTATGTCAATGTTTTTCTCTTCTCTCTTTTTGCAGCATTACTTTACTCAATTTATACAAGCGAGAAAATGATACCTAAACAATCAAACGTCCACTCCAGCTTGTAGCAACAGAACGGGTCGGTGTATGTATGTACCTGCACTTCGAGTGTGGTGTGTCATCTGCTTGCCGGACACGGGCCAGTCAAGCAGCACGTAACAAGTTGCATGACTCAAAAGGAACTGACTGCCGATTGTGCCCAGGACGAGCATGCTTTCTATTCGGACTATCCCACCAATGTCGTTTAGATGACTTGCCTTGCGATCGTCGGAATGGACATGCGCGAAAAGCAGCCGGAACCGCTGGCAAGTAAGTGTGGCAGGGCCTTGGATTTTGGGCTGGCTCGTAGTAAGCGCTCGTGCGTCTTTGTGACACGACGATCGTGGTCGAAAAGTTCTCGCATTCAGTTGTCACACGTTCTGCTTATAATGTCTGTGCTGTCGTTCGTTGCAGGAAGCATCTACTCGATGTCTGACCGTGACACAAGCTGTACTTCCGTGAGACTTGCTTCCCAGACTCCGGATGCCTGCGAATGGTTTCATGCTACTCTTGATCGCGCTGCTGCCGAAAGGCTGCTTCGACTTCAAGGCATGTTTCTACTATATCCTATTTCGCTGTGACTTCCACACCTGTCACAGCCACGACCTTTTGATCGAGAATATAAAATTCCATTAGCTTGTTTCGCCTTGATCGAGAATATAAAAGCTTGTTTCGCTTTGATCGAGAATATAACATTCCATTAGCTTGTTACAAGAATGGTTTCACAACCATACTCGACACTCCTTGTACGCAGTTTTTTTTTTTTTTTTTGCCGAGTGGAATAACTGCGCTAGTGGCAATGCTGTCAAACCTAGTCACCGTCTGATGGCACGTTGTTTTATGCGAGTTGGGCAGCTGATAAGAAAGCCATATTTAGCAAGCATTTTGAGTTGCTACATTGATCTACGATTTTTCACCATGCCTGTTATCTCAGAAACACCTTTCTCATCTCACTCCCATATCTCTCATTTTAATGACAGACGGGGAGGGGGTGGGTGGACTGTCATCTACCAGCACACTGTGAATGCTTGTTTGTAGTTGTTGTAAAATGAATGTTTAATCTCGTTCATGTAGTTGGGTGTCACGACAGCTCAGCCCGTTCTAACGTAGGCTCTTGGTACATGCTCATAAAGAATGCATTAAAATGTGACGTTACGAGGTACTAATACTACGTTCCTAAAATGTGTCATGTTGCCTTGCTCTTGAGTAGCTCTCCACTATGGCAAAGGTTGCTATGTATGAAAGAGAAAGGTAGAAGTGTGAGTTGGCTACTGATTATCTTTTGAAAATAATTAATTGGCAGGCAATGCACAAGAGAGAGAGAGAGAGAAAAAAGTCTCACAAGCTGTATTCATAACTGGCACATTGCTGGTGCGGGCATCATGGCTTTCGAAAAGCTAGCTTTCCACAAGCCTTGCTCGCCATGCTGCTTACACATGTATATTACCATATACAGGAGAGGATGGCATGTTTCTGGTACGACCAAGTGGGTCTTCACCGGGTGATTTTGCACTCAGTGTGGCGGAAGGTGGTCAGGTACTGCACCTTCAGGTGCACCGTCACCGGGAAGATGCTTTCTTCAGTGTAGATGGTGGCCCTGTGGTACATGGTAAGCTGCTCATCTCTTCTTACTATTGGTCAGTGTGTTTGACTATTGTAATCAGTGCGTTACGGAGCTGTTTGCATGAGCCAGCTGCTAAATTATCCAGGCATAAAACTTATTTAGTGACAATTAGTGACAGCTATGACCATAATTGAAGGAACAGTTTTGTTTTTCATTATTGCTGAAGACACAGGGATATGATACTGATGTTACTGGTTAAGAATGGTCATTAAAAATGTTTAAACAATAAAGCATTGGACGTGTTTAAGTTAATGAACATCTGAAGGCTGATTAAGAAATTTGGCTGCCAGCAAGTGCAGCTACCTCGCAAGTCACCCTAGGAAAAAAAGATTGCATCATACTACAGCATGGCACTTACAGTTGTGGACCTTTGTATTCACCGGCACAACATCCAGCATGTAAAGCATATTCATAGAGCAGTGAAAGGAAAACATGACCATTTTAGAAGGTCTCTCCACTTTAACTTGACTTGAGAAAGTTTGTGGCTGTGCCATTTTACAACAGAAGAGGTTACTGCTTATGAGCAGTTCTTGGTAGCATTTCCCAAGAAGCGCATTGTCATTTTCAGTCATGTGATGATGCTGGCTCGGCCGAGTGAAGGACGAACGTCGAGTTGTCGTCTGTTTAGGAATATGGGGTTGAGTGTCTGCGCTTTGATGGCAGGGCTGGAGGAGCTGGTGTACCAGAGTAGCCAAGAAGGTGGGGCACCCTGGGGCCAACCCCTGGGACGCCCATGCCCCGGGGGAGGGCCACCTCCAGCTGATACTCGACGCCATGGTCGCACCAATCTGCTGCACCGTGCAACCAGGCAGGGTAAGTCAGACTTCATCACCTGAAGATGCAGAGCTTTGGCTTTTTAGCGATTTTAGTTAATGAAGCACACCTTTACAGTCTCTGCTCTAGCCACACAAGTGCATTCCAGGGAGCTGAGGCTTCCTTGCGCAGAATTTTTAGGCAAGATTATTATACTTGGTTTTTCACCGGCTGCGCTCAGTGGTACATCATAGAAATGCAAGAAACCTTGTGTACTAGTCATTGCAGCGAGCCAAGTGGCATTAAATATGTCACTGTCTGTCTATACAACAGTATGGAAATTCTTTTTTCTGTGTGAGCAGAACTGCTTTAAGATGAGTAATTCACTAATTGTATTATACCACCTGGAGAGATAGATACCTTATGCCATCATCTATATACAAGTTTCCCAATATGCTTGGTAACTCGATGTTCCCCTTTATTGAATGTGGCCAAGTTTAAATATGGTTGTGCTTGCACATATAAGCTGTAAATGAAACCGAACATGTGAGATTGAAAGCAGCTCAGAATAGGTCAAGGACTTTCAATTGTTTCTTCAAGTTTAGCAACCTGAAAGCCGTGCTACAGCATTGGATGGCACTCTACATCCCATCATGTTCATGTATGTTTTAAGTGAGAATTTCTTAAGTACTATTTAGGCGCCCTCTTGGGAAGGTCAATTCTTGATATCTTTGACAGGAAATGACCTTCCCAGCCTCTGTAACTACTTCCTCTTCATTATGGTATTTGATTCATGTTCAATTAAATAGCTCAAATTATGAGCTCCTTAAAGGCTAGACCAACAATGGGCAAGCATATTGTTCCTTGTGTAACGTTTTCATTTTCTTGCTTTGAGACACACTGCATCTCTTGAACTCACCCTACTGCCCTCTCTTTCTCTCTCTTTTCCCCCTTTTTTTTCCATCTTAAGCCATCATTGGGCTATGGTAAGTAGCTTCGTTGCTGGCTGTTGAACACAGTGTAAGATGTACGTACTTCTTAGGCGAGGACACTGGCAAGGCACATTTGACCTGATAAAAATAGCAACGGCATGTGCCTGTCGGTATTTGAGGGCAGTGGATGTGTACTGGTGGGATGACACAACTTCAAGGCAGAAAAAAACGTTGCTATAGCAATCGGCACGCTAGCAAGTGCGAAGTTGTGGTGTATTCAGGCAACATCTGGAAACCTGAACCGACCTGCAGTAGTGCTTCCGAGGGCGTATTACGACGGACTATATCACGTTGGTGAAAACTATAGTGACCCCTCCTCCCCCCAACCTGAGGAGAAGATGTTATAAACTCTTTAGCTCCCTGGTGCCCCTCAGTCACTTTCAAAGAAGGGTCCAAGTTGGACTTGGACTCGAAACCTTAAAATTTTTCATTTCGAAGTAAAAAAAAATGTTATTTGCTTCCCAACTCTGGTTGGGAAGCAAATAACAAAAAGAAGCCTATCAAAAGTTCACTTTTGAAGCTGAAACTGCATGTGAGTGAAAAAGGCGTCATGAAGTTTCTGCTTCACTTCCTAGTGTGACGGTTGCTATAGTAAGGCCCTTTTCTGTCTTGAAGTTGTGTGGTTTCACTGACGCATATGCACCTCTATCACTGGACTGATGGGTGACAGCCGTTGCTACACCATCTGGTCGAATGCGCAAACAAACAATGCGAAAAATATCCCCGCCTAAGGAGTATATATCCTGCACTGTGTTGCTGAGGCAGCTGTTGTGTTGATTCCCCCAACTTGTGATTGCCAGGAGACCTGGTGGTGGTGAACGAGCTGTTGCGAGTTGGCTATGCTACCGAGGCCAAGGATGAGCAAGGTCACACAGCTGTGCATCTGGCATGCCTTGCTGGACACACTGAACTTCTGGCAGCCCTGCTGGCAGCCGGTGCTGCCCCATCTGGTCCCGACATCTGTGGCCGACATCCACTGCATGTGTGTGCCACATGAACATTCCTGTCAAGTGAACACAAGTGGCACAATACTGAGTTCAAGCCTCCGCTTTTATTAAGCATTTAGAGCTGCTGAAGGTGTTTAATTAGACCAACACTTCTTGAGCGTGAATGCATTATGCAATTTACAACACTCGTCAAGACTAGGCATGTGCAAATATTAAAATGCTTCGAATATTCAGATGAATAATGCAGTATTTGAATTTGCTTCAAATTGAATTTAAATGATTGAAAGTTTCAAATTATTCAATATGAACAAATAAATGCACATTAGTTCGCATGTAACATTCTCTAGAAGTGGTTTCACTGCAGTGTAAGAGTGCTGTGCCGTGAAAACACATCCAAGAAAGATCCTTAGTGGCGCAAAGGCCTACTTTAAGGTTAAATGAAGGTATTATCCTCACATTGATTCTTTGTCTAAGTTCAAAGTTGTGTTATGCCACATATGCTCTCATTACAGCAAATTTTAAACGTAATGTATTATACAGGCTATAACTTGCATTCTACGGAAAGTCAAACCCTGATACAATTCTAAGTTGATTCTACTTGCTACGGTGAAAAAAAGAAAAAAAAGGCATTTGCAACTAGCTTCAGCACCAACTCTTCAATTGGGCTGACAATCTTAGCAGCAGAAGGTTCAGTGTCATTATAAGAATTATCAGTGCAGCTGCCAGAAATAATTATGCCTCAGTGACATAAGCCACGTAAACTGAGCATTGTTTCTCACCATGTATTTCTGCAGACCACCAGTTGTAGGCCTGCAGACACTGTATGATCTTTTTTTTTCTTCTGTGTAGCCAAAATATTGTCTGTTCAGCTGCCCTACATGTTAACATCTTGTGTCCTGCAGTATGCATGCGAGTGGCCAGATGCCGAGATGGTCAAAGAGTTGCTGTCAGCAGGAGCCAGTGCACAGGCACGCGACGCCGACAATGGCTGGGTGCCATTGCATGTGGCTGCAGCACGAGGCCACCTGGATGTTGTGCGGGCTCTGCTGGATCATGGGGCGCCAGCACGTCCGCGCACGTTACGACATGAATTACCCGCTGATCTGGCAGCGCAGGGGAAACACACCGACTGTGTTCACTTGCTCGGTCAGTTAGTTGTCTGCCATATCTCCCATTGCTGTGGGCACTATCAGTGCAGATTGTCCCACTTTTCTGATGATTATCCATTTAGAGAGTCATTGAGGCTACACATATCTGACTGGTTTTGTTTCTTTTTTCTTTTTTTTAGAAACCTATGAGAGACCCGCACCAACCTACACACGAACTTCTTGGCTTCATCCTCCTCACGTGGACCGTGAGGTGCGTCTCCCGACAGTGTGACTCTTCAATGAGAGGGTTGTAAAAATGAATTGCCAGGGCTCGGGGGTCATAGCACGAATATTATCACATGAAAATGCCACATCATTGCACCAGTGGTAGGTGATATGAGGCTCTGATGTTTCTTCGAGCTGGTAGCAAGGCATCACGTAGCCTCGAGACTAACAGTTAAGCTTTTGTCGACTTTTAAATTACATAAAAAAAGGACTGTTTGGTGCGAATAGTTATTTGATATATTATATACTGTATTGCAAAGAGAAAACTATTTGTTTTCAAGCAGTAGAGACCGTAAGCGACTACACACAACACGTGATAGTCTGACTTCATGTGAATCGTATTTTTTCACTGAGACATAACTTTTTGAGAACTGTTTTATGCTCTTTTGTACTGCTAGGCGAGACTTTAAAATTTAACAGTAGGGGTGTGTGAATAATGAATTTTAAAACCAAATTGAATACGAATTGAATAGCAATCATGTCAAATCAAATATAGAATACTATTTGATAAGAAAGGCCTCTATTTTTAAGACAGATCTAAAATTAATTACACATTTTACTTGAAACAAATATTCACATACTTTAACATAACATTAGTGCTACTTTTAAGTGGTAAAAGATATCAAAATCATGTAAACTGATACATTACTGTTACTTTTAACTGACAAAAAGGTGCCACAGTCATGTAAACTGAGATGGGCTGATAAGTAGCAGCAACTAGACACTTTGAGATATTTTTTAATAGTCGGTTGAATGCAGCAGTTTAGTATTCAAGATGGTAATTCTTCCCCAGCTTTAATATAAAACTGAGACCTAAAGTTAAACTTTTTTTTTTTCACAAACCAACATCATCATGAATTACACGAAGATAATAGTGCACTCAGGATGGTCTCATTGACGAAACTCGGTATAAAGAGAAACACCTCAGAATAGCTTCGATAATCTTGTAAAAAGTGCGAACTTCATGCATGTCGGTATATTAGTGAGTAAAGCAAGAACAATTATTCATTGCAGTTTCAAAGTGTCGTTTTTTGGGGGTTTGCTCCCTGGTGCTGACTATTTGAAAAGGTACTAAAAAAAACTTCCTTATTTAAAATGTGCGCTGTTTAGAGTCAAGTACCAATAGAACGGTATTTGATTCATTATTACTGTAGGTTCGTGTGCTCAGATTTAGGTGCACATCAAGGAACCCGAGGTGGCCGAAATTTCCGAAGCCCTCCACTACGACGTTTCTCATAATCATATGGTGGTTTTAGGACGTTAAACCTGACATAGCAATCGATTCATTATTATAAACTATAAAATATTTGTGCACCTCTGTTTAACAGTGAGATGTAAGGCATTTGAAGTTCAAATATCCATATGACTCGACTAAAGTAGAAGGAAACTAGCGTACCACGTATAAATGGTGATCATACGATCTCCAGTTGCAGAAATAAAATGCTTGGAAAAAGTCATCAGAGTTATACATCAGATATTTCACTCTCTAACCGATGAATTCCGTGCTATATTTTGTGTTACAATATATTGCTTCCAATGTAGTACGGTCATGATGTTAGACTTCACATGTCGTTGCATTCTATAGACAGTTACAGTGATCACAGATTGCATTGTGAATGAGAAATGAGCGCAGCTTCATAAATGCAAGTTGATGTGTTGACTTATTCGAGGCAATCTCATTGCAGTGCGCTACGCGGCTTCTCTCCACGGCTGAGGAAGGCACATTTTTGTTACGACGCGGTCGGCGAAGCTCATACGTGTTGTCACTGGCTGGGCCTACATCAATTTACCACTTTGAGATACATTCCCAGGTATGGTGCATTGTTTTAAGCAAATTAATATAGTTGTCGTGTAAACGCTTCATTTGAACCTCCCAAATGAAGCTGAAACAGCATTGTCGTGAAGTAAAAAATTTTTTTAGCACTGTGGTGTGGCAGTAATAGTAGGATGCTACAGAACAAGCATCGAGAATAACAATGTGTAGTGTACACGTATCTCGCAGGAGTATGGCCACCAACGTGCAACAGGGTCGAGTTCAACGTCGCCTCGTGTGACTAATGCCGCTGCACACGCGCGTTCGGACAGCCAAGGCGCTGAGCGCAACGCAAAAAGTACACAGTATTGCTCTCAAACAAGTTGCAACACTTTGCTGCCTGCAGCAACACCAAAATCGCAGTACAGCGCCCTTTGCAAAAGGCGGTGAGAAAGCAAAAAAGGCTTATCCATGCGACGGGCGAAAGTACAACACGAAGGGTTCTGCGAGCATGTCTCCGTAGGCTAAAGGGTTCACGGTGATACACCGCTAAGGGAAACGGGCCCTCGCGACCATGCTGCGCGCTCTCACGATCAGTGTCAACAGGGCCCAAACGCTCGAGCGGGGGCAAAGTCTGCTTGCGTAGGCTACGAGAGGTACGGCTCGGTCTAGTAGGACCATGCGCGAACACACTGCGCTGCTCATAGGCCTGACGTTCGGAAGGGGCAACGAAAGGTAAGCATTTGCAAAGAGCGCTAAACACCGTTGGTGAGTCCGAGTGAGCTCCAAGAACAAAGAGAGTGCACGGACAGAAAGAAAAGGCGTGCTCACCCTTCGATATCCTAAGAGGATCTCTCACTCCCACATGGCACACGCGTGAAACATCTCGGGAGATTCGAGCACAGCACCACAGTCGACATCCGGTACGATCCAGTGCCGGGCCAGAGGAGTCAATGTTGTTTCCGCTCTCCCAGTGCGGACAGACGTATAGAAGGGGAGAGTCATGTTAGGACATGAGAATGGCTGAAATGGGCACCAAAGTCCACACAATGGCGACGGGCTAGCCTCTATTCCCACAAATGTGACCTGGTTTGTTGAAAAAAACGTATGCACTGGGCCGATACACTGTTCTATGTTGGGAAGGGTTGGTTAGATGCTTGCATATTGAATGTGCGTTGGTGTTAGTGCCCACATATTATTAATGTTATGCTGTGTCAAGGGAAATGCTGCATGCACTGTGCAGGGCCCATATGTGCACATAGATGATGGCCCACTTCTTTCATCCCTGGAGCACTTGGTGGCCCACTACAGCAATTTTGAGGATGGCCTGCCTGTGCGCCTTGCTCAGCCTCGTAAGTGAAGCAACCACAGCTGTACTTATTGTACAAGGTTTGCAGCATATTTGGGACTATGGCTGGATGGAGGGAGGCTGGCCTAATCTTACCTGTGCTTATGTGCCGAGTTGAAGCAAAAAGTGTTGCCCATAGCTGTTCACAGGCAGCATGCCCTGTCTCACAAAATGGTTGAGCTGACACTTGCACTTTGTTTTTCGCAGTTGCACCAGATGAGCCACCACCTGTGGCACCCCGATCCCTCACGTCGCAGCGACAGACGCCCACAATGACGGCTGTGATTAGCAGAGATTCCCTCAGTTTAGGTAACTGCAGTGGTTTCAGCTGTGACAACTCATGTGATTGCTTTGCAGAAAACAGTTATTGTGCTTTATTTTTTAATATTTCTCTTGAACTTAATCTTGGGCTGCGCGATTTGGCAGTAGCACATGTATTAAAGGGTTGTGGTCGGGAGCAACAAAATGATTATAATAGTATATTGACTTTTCTTTGGTTTTACAGTGTCGTGTTACAGTCGGTGTTGTGACATTTAGATGACAGTGTTTGCTGTGTTTTGCTATGACCACTTCATGACAACTTACTCCATATAATCTCACAACAAAAATCAAAGTGTTTCCTTTGCTACACCTGAAATTTCGTATTTTTTTAAACATCAAATGTATAACAAGTAGGCTGTAAGGCTTCATTTGTAGGAAGTAGTAGTTTTTTTTACATATTTGTTCACGGTGTTTCAGGTTACTCACTGTTGTTAATTTGCCTCAATTTGATTTGTTTGGGCGGCTTTGCTACAGTTTCAAGCTTCTTTTTAAAGGCAACGCTAAATAAGTGAAAGAACAAAGCAACCTGCAGCAGAAGTGCTGTCGACTTAGTCAATTATTTTTTTTTATGCAGGTCAGACTCTGGGGGAAGGAGAATATGGCTCTGTTCTACAAGGTGTATGGCTGACATCTGAAGGCACAGAGGTAATTAAGCTTGCTTCCATATTGCATTCGCATTTTTGTCATGGGTGTTTAGGTAGAAAAGAACACCTCCTTTCTGGTCTGTGGCTCTCTAGGCTTATGTCTGGTTATTGGCCTGTGCGGTAGAGAATGAAGAGATCGCTCTAGTCAATGAAAGTATAAAAAGAGGGGAAGGGTAAAAATTAAAAGATTTTTTTTTACTCTTATGTCTGGCATTCGCACAAGAACTGGGCACGATCAACAACCCGAGCTAAAGATTCGTGTGCCATTAAACAAAAGAAAATATCATAATATGGTTTCTCTTTAAGTTTTTTATGTGGGAGAAGCACCATCACTTCTACACCTTTATTTCTTCCATGCTAATTATTTTTGAGTGTACTGAATAGGGCCTAAAACATTGAAAAAAAAAGAAAGAAATCCTTCAGGTGTATAGAAATTAGTTGCACAGAACCAGATTCTGTGCAAGTCTACACAGAAGCTGCTCTTTTACTTTTCCAGAAACTTAAGGTTTAACAGCCCGAAAAAAATACACGGTGGACAGGAAAAGGACCTTAAGTATGCTAAACGAACTAGCCTAATTAGCCACTTTGTTTTCCAGAAAGCTGACTTTTTATGTTGAGGGCTTAAAATATAATACCAAAGGCCGGTCCATGCAGGTGTCTGTGGCAGTTAAGAAACTACGGGAGGTGTCGGCCAGCGAAGGCTTTGCTCGTGAGGCTGAGCTCATGGTGGACTTGCGGCACCCATGCATCGTGCGGCTCCTAGCCATCTGCCTGGGACCACCACTTATGATGGTACTTTGACAGTCACATGTTGCTTTTTTATAACTCATAATGTTTTAAAGAAAGCGCAGTCAAGAAATATGACCCTGCATATTTGAGCAGGGTCTCTAGAAGGTAAACACAAGGAATCATGAAATGCCACCAATTCCTCATCCTTAGAACGGATCAGGGAAACAAAAGGATATTTTCACATTTTTGGCACAAACATATTGATTGTTGGCATTTGTGGTGTAATTGGAGCCCCGCCAGTACAGTTAAGTCTAAATAAAGTGAAATTATCAATATAGTGAAATTCTTATTTGCTTTTTATATGACTGCATGTGCATAAAACATAATGCATTTTTCTGCTAAGAATAGAAAAATGTGTTTTATCTGCGGTTTTAGTATAATGAAGTTTCACTGCTAGGAAAAACCGAGGCAATAAACTTGACGTAGTCCTAGTGATAGTGAACAAATGTTGAATGGAGCTTTTGCAAATGAAATTTTCAAATCATATGCCATGCAATTTAGAGCAGCTGCCAAAGCCAAGCAGCATTTTTTCTGATAGAGGCTGGGGGAGCGAGGGTGCACTGGAATGCTACTGGAGCAAGTAAGATAACGTGGACGCACTAACACATTGGGTGACCAACTCTACATATCAAGTACGGTCTTGCATATCAGCATTGTGATGCACCGCACGTATCTGATGTCTGCCTCTGAAATGGAGTGCTTATTCTCTCTGTGTGGCAAGTGATGAGCTTGAGTAACGGCATAAATGGTACTAGATGCAATGACATCTCCCTTATGGTGCAATGGTTATGGTGCCCGGCTGGTGACAAAACATGTGTACTTAAACCCGTCCACCGTGGCTGCATTTCAATGGAGGCAAAGTATCCAAGTGGTTGAAACACTTTCAGAGCCATTCCCTATAATGTGCCTCATTATTAAATTGTGGTTTTGGCATTGCATCCCTAATATATTGCAAATGATCTCAGTCACTGAGGAAAAGGTCTCGCCACTTGCTTAAGGTCGTGGTTAGGCTCACTCTGCATTATCCTTACGTTGAAAAAAGCTATTCTTTAATTGCTTAAAAAAAGAGGATATCATCTCAGTGATAGTACAAAAACCTCGCCAAGCTTTGGCTCCCCTCCCTTATAGGAGCACCGAGAGCTAACGGTCGTGGCCTTGAAACGGCCAGCCCCACGAACAGACCAGCATGACAAAACAGATAGAAAGGAAATAGATGCAGCAAGCACGAACATTTGGAAGAGTGCATTTAGACTGGGAGTGTCATGCACAAAAAAAAAAAAGACATGACAAAAGTCAGTCGAATGGCCACAAGCTTTCGACTAACTCACTTTTGTATTTATAAAGTTTCCTTCAACATTTTGTGGTTACAGCTCTCCTATACATCAGACATTTTTTTGTGTTGCTGGAATTACTTTTTTTTTGTACTGCCCTAACATTGAGGCATGGCTTGTGGCGCCTTCCATGTTAAAAAAAAAAAAAGTTCTGTTGAAGACTACACTACACTTTCCATGAAAGGCTGAATCTTAGCATACGAATGTCTTTACATAAAGTAAAGACTACACTACACTTTCCATGAAAGGCTGAATCTTAGCATACGAATGTTTTTACATAAAGTAAATTGTCAATTTTTCTGACTTTTAGATGCGGAGCGGCTCTTTGACTAGCCTGTGTAACGCTGTCCCTCCGTCTGCACCGCTCCCCTCGCCATAGGTGTTGGAGCGGTGACGCTCCAACACCTGTGGTGCGCGGTGACGTCTCTCTCCCTTGCCTGCTGCACTCTTGTCAAGTGTCAGCTCTCTCCCATTTCACCCTCTCCCCCCCTCGCAACGCTGGAGCCGCTTCTCACCTGTGCCACCTCTCTCCATTTGTCCACGAGAAGAAGTCGCGAGCCGGCGGGCTAACAATGTGGACAGCACGCCGTCGCGGCAGGCTTCCCGCTAGTGTGCGTGCACATTTCCCGGCTGTTGCCGGCGTTGCGAGGGTTAGCGACGCTGATCGCAATCGCGAATGGCGACATCAATGCCAATAAGGCACGAGCCAGCGAAGCCGAATGCAAGCGTCGGCAGCGGAAGGCCAGAAACGATGAGGTGCAAGTCAAGAACACTGATCGCGTTCAAGAATACACTCGGCGTGCGGGTAACACGTATGAGATGCAAGCCAAGGAAGCCAAGCGCAAGAGTCTTCAACGCGTCCCGCTTTCTGTGTCTTTGTATTTTGAACAAACGTTTCCTCGAGTAAACGCTACACCAAGTTTCGCTTCAAACCATTCTTCCAACACCCCCGTCGATGCCCGTTTTAACCAAGTAAAAGCCGCGCGCACAGCTGCTGCTTCGCACCTCATCAGGGTTCCCTTCGGGGAGATGGTCGGGGAGATGGTCAATAGTTTTTTTTTTATATATTTAGGTTTAACTGCTGTATCTTACTGAAATTTGCAGAACCAGGGATAGGTGAAATATGCTAAAGGCATTAGACCTATGAAGTGCAGGGCAATTCACAATACCATCAATGCAACATCATCATATTGCAATGATGGCAAGTTCAGTGGCCGGGATGTTTGCTGTGTTTATTCATCCTTGAGTCTTTGTTTTACCACTTTACAACAATTCTCAATAAATAGTCTTCATTAAAAGCTTTAAATGTTCATAAAAAAAGGTAAAGCATGAATGAAAAGAGCAGTGCAACACAAGCACAGATATATAATTGAAAGGGCACACTGCCCTTTCAACATTAAAACGATCCCTGTGGCAAGCTTTCAATTAACTTATATAAATGAGAAAAACTAGAAATAATAAAATACTACCTGAAAAGCTACCTGTCGTGCAGACTTCATGGTGTTGCAATACCTGCACATTTGTCTTTCTTTTCTGCCACAGTGCGCTTTTTCAGGCGATAGCATTTCCGTTGTCTTGCTTTTTGCATTCATGTATGAACGCCCTGCCTTTTTTTATGGCGAATCATGTAGCCAAACTTTTTATAGTTCAAACTAAATATCACATTTCTGCCTTAGTCTCCTGGTCTTCCAACCACAAAATGCCTGCAAGCTTTCCGAGAAGCTTACTAATATCGTAATTCCAACTTTCAGACATTTTACTGCTAGGCTCATAACTTGACCAACTACATAAACATTCTAGGAGCTTCAGAAATTGCCAAAATTTGTTAATGTTCTGCATGCTTTATTGCCGTACACGTCCCCACTGCCACCTCAGCCTAGCGGCCCAATGTTGCTGCCGAGTATGATTTCTCTTTTTCTGCACTGAAGTCAACATTTGCACTTGCTCATTGTGATTTGAAACTAACTGCCCTGTGATCTGTAGGAGTGGCGGGAGGCACATAGCAAGGGATCCATTTTCACTTCTACCACGCAACATTTTCACGAATAAATTAATTTCAGTGCGCAGAATTCTTTTTTTTCTGAAGTTGGGCGCATGTGCAGGTGCAAGAGCTCCTGCCATTAGGCTCCCTGTTAGGCTACCTGCAGCAAGGCTGTGGGCCTGTGTCCTTAGAAGAGGATGTGCCAAGATGGGCACATCAGGTTGCATGCGGCATGGCCTACCTGCAGGCTCGCCGCTTTGTACATCGAGACCTGGCTGCCCGCAACCTCTTGCTTGCCTCCCGCATGCAGGTGAGTCCTGGTTGCAATTTTTTACAGGTAAATAACAGTGCCTTTCGCTTATTCATTGCATTGTTGATTTGCAAGGTTACGGTCACGTTTAGTGCTGTTATAAGTGCCACACTAATTGCATCATGTTGGTCATGAAGAATGACCAGATCATAGCTTCTAAATAGTTACCCTGCTGACCAACTGACTAGCCCAGATAGTGTCCCTTCATTGGCTTAGTTTCTTTTGCCCTGTAAGCTGTGCTCTTTCCAATAAGACTTAGCTTGTAAGCAGTGCAGACGATGACTTAGCTTGTAAGCAGTACATTGTCCTGTTCCATCGTCTGCACTGCTTTGGCACAGTACTCAAGGATTTAAACATGACATCATTTTATTTTTTTAATATAACTGTTGTGAATAATAATTGCTTGTGATAACTACGTCGTATCCTTACAAGCCTGGCTGTTAAAGGTAATGTTGACTCTGATGCAAGTTAGAGTCAAAATTACTGTAATGTGACATGAATCGTAGATGCTGGAAACAGAAGTGGCACAGCCTCAATTTTTTAGTTTCATTCTGCGAGTACAACATGTAAACCAATTTATTCTGCAGTTTAAAAACTTATGACTATGCAAAAACTTTCAACTAATATTACTTGGAGCACTTGTTAGCTTTGTATTCAGTCACTGTTTATGTTTTAGGCGGCTCTTCCCTACAATAAACTCTCCACCAACTAGCCTAACACAAAAGTACTTCCCATCTGAAGTGACCAGTTTCTTGTTTGTTGAACTACTGTGCACAACTCTTGTGGATTCACATTCATTTCCAGGTCAAGATCAGTGACTTTGGGTTGTCCCGAGCTCTGACCTTGGGAAGCGACTACTATCGTGCAACCACAGGTGGAAGATGGCCTCTGAAGTGGTGAGCGGTCCCCACAATTGCTTGCACTTCGCTTGCACCGTGTACGTGTCATTGCTACAACCCTTAACTATATTGAACAGCACAAAGCACATATGAAACTTCCTTTTATATGTATATTTTTCTCTTCTTTGCGTCAGGGTACAAAGCACATATGAAACTTCCTTTTATATGTATATTTTTCTCTTCTTTGCGTAGGAGGGAAAACCACTTGTGAGGTGGGGGAAGAGTGAGCAAGGTGTACATAAAAATACTGCTGCTCTCACAATTATGAATCTTCTTGTCAAGCACTGGATTCACCGTCATTCCTTTTTCAACAATTTCTGATTGGTTAAGGCTTCATTCTCCTAAACTACTGTCTTCTTTGGACACCAACTTTGGCTAAAAAACAACTTTCGCATGGCATCTCAACAATAATGAACCTTTAGTTTGATTACCTCTACATTTGGTATTTTACAGTTCATGGCTCTCTGAACTCTGCACCAGCACCACAGCCCAAAAGAATCTAGCTCTCACTAGAGTGTGAACCTTAAGTGCTCATTTCTGTGATTATCGTCTACCCTTGTCGTAATAGGAATAAAAAAAAGTAGCAAGTATGGCAAAAGAGTGCTGCACACAACTACGAGATGGTGCCATAGCATATCGGGTACTACGTGCCTCCAAAGCATAAGCTTGGCTGGCACCACTTTCAGGAAGGCCACACTGTTTGCCCACCAAAAAAAAGCTCATGAACATCAAAGCAGTGCCAAAGTATTTGTAATTGAATTAGATGCACAACTTTAATTGTGCAGTATTTTTTGGAGGCCAAGCGATTGCTCTGAAACTTTTGGAAAGTCATGGGAACGTGTGTACATTTGGGCAAACATGGTATTCGTCTTCCACAGTACTATTTCTTGGCTGTATTTACTGCCGTAACGGTGCTTTCATTTGCAAGATAATCATGTGCTTGCTAAAGAGGTAGCTTGAATGAAAAACTCCAGAACAAGCAGCCAAGGGGAACTGATAACTTTCGTTTTTGCTACATTTAGAAGTTATAATTTCTAGCTAGTTCTATTTAGATACACCTATGAACATGCCTTCTATTAGCATGCTGCATTAAGCAACTTCTGAATTGCTCGTTTTTTTACAGGTATGCCCCCGAGTCTGTCAACTTTGGTACGTTTTCACATGCCAGCGATGCCTGGAGCTTCGGTATCACCCTCTGGGAAATGTATACTCTTGGGGAGCTCCCATATGGATCACTTACTGGTGTTCAGGTAATGGCAGCGAACATCGTACATATTTTCTTCAAAAGCATAAAACTAAGCGTGTAGTTCAGTGTACTCATATTGCATCAATTATGAACACACCTTTTCTCATAGTGTTTGACCAAAAGACGCAATGTGGGACCACCTAATGAAAATACATTGCTTTGTTCTCATTGCATCAGTGTTGCATAAAATGCCTTCATTACTACACCGCATGCTCTTTCATGTCACAATGTGCTATACTGACATTTATGGAAAGGATGTGCTGCCTCGTGCATGATTTCACCTATTGATTTACAGCCAGTGCACAAGCATGGACACTTAGAAGTAAATACTATGCGCTTTCGACTTGTTGGACAGTATGAATGCATGCATAATAGGCAATAAGCACAATGTTTAGCACATTTGAATTTACTATATTTACTCGAATGTAACGAGAGCTTTTTCACCCCCAAAATTTTGCTACGTGAAATTGACCCTTGTGCTACAGTCGAATTGCATAATGATGCACCCAATCAAGTCACTCCTCAAATTACTATCGAGTAAATACAATAAGGGTCATACGTTAATGAAAAAATTGGGTGGCTCTTTACCGCAGAAGGCAAAATGTTCGGCTGATGAGCACAACATGCAACTCTCTTGGGCAGGTACTGGCGCTGGTCGAGAGGGGAGAGCGACTGGCACAGCCCGATGACTGCCCCGACTGGGCGTACACAGCAATGAAGCACTGCTGGCGATTCTGCCCCGATGAAAGGCCACCTTTTTCTGACCTGGCTGTGCTGTTCGCTGCTCACAGCAGTAGACACCTCTGTGCTGGATGTGATGACAATGCCCATTAAAGCCCTCAGTGGAAGAATGCTTTCTATCCTATTGCATCTGTTATGCAACCAAGTCAATCAGATATATGCAAGCAAGTCTTCAGTCAGAACACAAGAGACCAAGGTAAAGTAATTTATTTGCCTTAGGTCACTAAGAGTCGCAGGTGCATTATTTTTTGTGCATACCAATTATCACTCAGCATGAATTGCAATAAATCTTATCTGCCTTGCACACCTGCAACACTGATTCTGTTGGGCACCCTTGAGACGGCACCAGTTGACTGTACAGGCCGACGTTTTTTTAATTAAACGACAATGTTTTGGAGGAATCATGTACACATGAATGTATCTACATGAAGTTAAAAGAATACATTGATTAACCCTCCTCCCATTAGAAACGTCAACATTATTTACAATAAGCGAAACAACACCCACCTCGGGCCCCTTCAGTTCCCATCTTAACATGATGAACAACAGATTTGTATGGGTAATCTTAGTGCCTGCAGCTCTGGCTGCATTTGTCAAAAAGCCAAGGCACACAGACAAACATGTTTCAACAGCAGGCTGCCATGCAGCCACGCATGTGCGCTCGCCAAGGTGCACAAAAATGGGGGCCAACCCTGGGGCTGCGATCACTGGGATGTCTCCACAGTTCAACCACCTCTGCTCCAAAGCAGCAAGGCACAGCAGCAGGGCTCCATTATAACTTCCGCAAGTCAAGAACAAACACCTGCAAGAAAAGTGAAGGTGATCATACTTCATGTCCCAGTGAACTCTACATAGCTAAAGGGTCGTAAATTTTATGCAAGGTGAGGATACACGAAGCTTCCAAGGCAACAAAGCGTACTGACACATAATAATTTAAGACACTATTTGCATTGCCGATGACCTGGACACAGAAAATTCAGAACCAGTGCCTCTCACAGCTGCGAGCGACCAATAAGTAAACGGCACACTTTCCAAGGCAGTGCAGCATAACCATCATGCATGCACAGTTCTGGAACCTTCACGGTACTACCAGATGCCCACATGCTCTGCTAAGCTGCTGCTGGACAAAACAGTTGGTTATGAAGTTTGGGGACCCGTGGCTTTGCAAAGTACACACATCATTAGTACACACAACATATGAGGTACTTTCCTTTTGAATGTTCCCAATTCTGTGCTAGCAAAAAGCTACACTAATGGACTTAAAAAGACCACGTCCAACCTGTGCATTTACACTAATGGGTTCTACCTAACTTACTCAATTCTGACTTGCAGCTTTCTTCAAATGGAGCAAAAATATTGCCTGCAAATTAGAATAAGGTAGAGACATTGTTCATGAAATATACAGGGAAGTTCCCACACAAGGAGATGATGGGCGAGTTTCAGAAACTTTGCTTAAAAAAGATGGCTAGCTGACAAAAAAAAAAAAAAAAAAAAAAAAAAAAAAAAAAAAAAATTGCTCTAGCATTTTAATACCCCCGCATGTTCTAGACCAAAGTACCATTTAGAAAGTTTGATAACCAAAGCATTAATGGGGGTCTAACGCTCTGCAGCATGTCCTGAAATGGTTCGACCGACGCCGGCGTTGCATAGCGTTGAGTGCTGTTGCTGTCACGAGGCTATTTAATGAACAAGCTCTTGTGTAGGTTTGTGTAAAACAAAAACAGATGACATGACCGTCATCGAGAAATGAGCCGATGAGACCATTTGTTCCCAACAAATCCTGAACACTCAATATATTTACGAAACTGCCAAAAGATAGTAAATAACAGACAAAGAACGGAGCATTGAAAAGTAGAAAGCGGTTAACAGAACTAACAGATGGCTAAAAGTCATGAACAGTGCGTAGAAATAAATGTTCAGAGGAAAAGAACCCGTATCCCCACATAGCAGAATGCGGTGCTTGCAGCGGAGGCTCTGCCACCGAGGTATGGACGCACTCATGCAAACGGCGACGGCGGTGATGCGGTTGAGACGCTCACATCGTTGACTCGCAGGGAAGGAAGCATCAGGCTAGTTGAGGTCAGAGACCTTTCGGCGTTCGGCAGCCACAGCTCGCACACGAAGCCGGAGACGTTTCTTGTACACGTATCTTGTACATGTATCAGTTTACACACCAGAAACCAGAACAAGCCTGGCCCACGCCAAGCGACGAGAAGAAGCTTTGTGTCCAGGTGAGAGCCCGCTGCGACCTTGATACAGGAGCTCTGCTGGCTGCCATTCCCGCGCCCTGGCTACCTTCTTCACTTGGTCCCTACTCAGCCACTTCTGCCTGGCTTCGCTGTTCTTCTCCCGTGGCTCTCCCAAATGTCCGTGGAAGCTCCTTATTGGCTTCAAATATTCACACCCACACGTGCCGCAACTGATCGTCATCTTCGTCGTCCTCTTTGGTTCAGGCTGATGGCGTCGTGCACTTTTCAAACGCGCACATGCACATCACAGTCACCAATAATTTGGCAATGCATGCTGACATACTATCCAAACATAGCAATGTGTCACATCTACAGCAGCACCCAGTGCCTTGCATCAGCCAGACCAGTCCAGGCCATGCTGCCTGGACTGGTTAAGTCTGCTGACGATTGTACATCAGCAATTGTATGCTCAAAAAGTGAGTCTTCTTTGATCACTTCTTCAGGCTTGGCATGCGGTGCGATACTGTGGGAATACATAGGAATTTTTTTTTCTTTTTGTGCAGATGTCTCAGTGCATCTTTTTAAGTGCTTTACTATGGTGGTGTGCCAGCTATCGCTTGTGCACCCGGTCGTGCACAGGTATGCAGTGGCTAGTTTTGGATTTGTCCTTCAAATGATTCCTGCTTCTTGCACCCACAAAATTGATGGCTATCTAAACTCCCAAAGAGTGACAGCTTTTTTACTCTCTCATTTATTGCTCTTTGATGGTTTCCTTTATGTTTGAGCATTCAATGGCAGTTTTAACACGCAAGGGGGGGGGGGGATGCTATCGTATGCGCCCTCTAGGCGATAAAAAAGTTCCGACTCATTTGATTTTTGCTTCAACAGCGCTTCTTGCATGCTTTTATCTGCTCTTAAAGTTACGATGCGTGGGGGCATGTTATAGATTTGAACTTGTTACAGAACATGGCGGCGATGACAAAAACCCGCCAAGAGCGTCCATATAATTGCTATCGCAATAATAACACATTTTTTACCGCCAAAAAAGTGTTTTGGGTTAGCTCTGCCTCCAGTTCCCCTTTAATTTGGTTTGTACATTTATCTTTTGAATTTTTCATACAAAATATTCATATAACAAAATCCTGTTTATCGAAAATATTTCCAGGAACTTCTCAATTACGTTTTATCCAGGATTAACTGTATTTATAAAAACTTATTGTGCCCGAAGGGGGGTTAGGTTAATGTTTAGTTCCAATAAAAGAGTCGGAGCAGCCGATAGGCTCCACAAGCGAGCACTCAACTCTGGTGTAGAGCAATGTTTCCAGATATCTATCTTTCAAGTGACAGGTTGCCCTCAGTGCCTTGCGTGCAGTTATTCCATTCTGCTGTCAAATTTTGTCAAATTCCTGTTGCTTGTACATGGCAGTTTCAGTGTCCCTGTCACTATCTAATGAATGATTCAGGCAGGAACGTCTTTCAGACTTGGAAAAATCACTATTGAGTGGCAGATGCAATGCCGTACAATTTGTAGAGTTGTCCATGTCGTCCACTATTACCACCAAAACAAGTCAACCACCAGTGGTCCTCCCAACCAGACAAACGTGTTAAAGGGAGTACCAGGGAGTCTACCAAACTGAGTTTTCCAGGTTTTCCCTAAGTTATTTTGCTAAAATTCCCAGAAAGAAATAATTTTTTTTTGTCACGACTTGACGGCTGACACCATGCCTTGAGACGATGTATTGTCACTTTCAAGTAGGTACAGCCGTCAGCACCTTTAACACGAACGCTCTACCACGTGTCTTGCGGCAGTTTGATTGACGCTGACACCACGTACGTTTGGGTTTTGTTGCCAAGATGCTAACCATACATGCCGACATACTATCCATGCCTACCGAGGTATCTCAGCAAAAGCGCCAAGCATTTTGAGGCTGGCATCAATCAAACTAGCCCTGGCCATGCATCGAAGTGTTTCTGTGAAATGTGCTGACGGCTGTACAGTTAAACTTCATTGTGACCTAAAATGGGCAATTTACCGCATTATATGAATGCTTTGTTCACTGATATCAATGCTTTGTTGACTGAAATTCTTCTTTTCATGCGAAGTATTTGCAACTCAACAGAATGTTCAGTGTGCTGGCAACACTGGTCGAAAAACAAAGATGGCTGCACCTAACGAGATAAACGCGGCACATTCGCTATAGTTTCGCTTGGCTAAAGTCTCTTAATTGTGACGTGGGATCGCAACGCTTCGTCGAACGCGAAAGGGACGGAACACCTCATCCTCATCAGCATAAATGATTTCACTGGCAAAACAGCGGAAATAGTTGCGCTGTGCGTGTAAACATCGAGCCTCTTCTGTGAACAGTGTCATATTTACTTCAGGTTGAACCTGTCTAGCGAGCCTGAGGTTGAAGATGGCAACTACTCATGTTTACGGGTCTCTCCAAAAGGTGCTAGGAGTTTTGCATTGCATTGCTACACTGCTACAGCCAAAGGCTTATCAGCTTGCAAGGTAACTACGCTGCGACCCGTGCTGCCGATCGCATGTATCCCACGCCGTTCACTTGATTTCATAATGGAGCTATGCCTGGGCCAGCGTAACTTGAGATAAGGCAAATCGTAGTTTCTACTGTAATAGAAGTGCTCCTTTCTTTACGCTCGCTGATCCAATGTATTATTAGGTTTCTAATGAATAAGGTCGTGTTCTTCCGAACACTTGCTTGTTTATGTTGGAAGAAGATTATTATTAAAGGGGCCCTAAAACACTTCTTCAAGTAAAGAACTATAGAATACAATCACTAAAGGGCTTAATACCTCACGAATTCAACGCAGAAAAAATTTTTAAATTCCATCCAGTATGAGCGGAGTTAGCAAGATTTGTCTCACGCTGCAATCTCTCTTGTTTTGCTTAGCGCTGGAAGCTAAGCAGGGGGGATGGCATGGGCTAAGATAATACGTCACGCACGTCTCCAGACCTTGAACACTTTGTCTTTTTTTTTTTCCGCTTCTAATATGCCACTTTTTCAGTGTGATCGCGCTCACACACAAGGACAAGTCGTGGCCTTGTGTGTGGCCAGTTTGAAGCTTCACCAATATGACACGCATTAGGAAGAAATAACTGCGGGTTTCATGCATTGCGCAAGTGCAGCTATTTTGCTGCTGCTACTTGTTATCAAAATGTTCAGTATTGCCTACAGTAGTGCATAGTCATGTTACCCAGCTGAACTATTCGCTTTCCACTCAGTCCGACAGATGCTCAACATGAAAAACTGCACGTTGCACGCTAGAAAAAACAAAAAGCTCACATCTTGCCACAAGGAGAAGCAATTAATGCAATAATTTGAAACTATGAATGAAGAAAAGCTATAGCAGCCAGGGGTGTAAGCTAGAAATTCATTACGAGGTGGAGATGGGGAGGGAGGGAACTTAATCATGCTTTATACAGTAATACCTCGTTAACTTGAACTCTCATATCTAGAAAAATTGGCTAAGTCAACATTTTCCATGGCACCGAACATTTTCTATACGTCCCTTGTATATTTTTCTTTGTACCTCGAAGTACTTTTTAGATAATTCGAAATCTTCACTGGGAGTGGAACGAAAATTCCACCGCCACGCTATTCCACAAGATTCACATGAAGTCCGTCAATTTTTTAAAATTTATTTAGTCGCGCCTGCCACTACGTCGATGCTTTCTTAATGCGTAGTGCATCGATTTCTCAGACGTCCGAAATCCTGGACATGCCTGATTTCCTGGACTCATCCCCAGCACAGTCAGATTTCCCATAAAGTCAATGTATTAAGAAGTCCGAAATTACGGGCACTTATAGCCTTCACCATTCAATCTTCCGGACTTTTTGCTGCTACCCTTCAACTCGAAGTTGCCACCAACGCCTCCATTGTGGTTGTTTTTGTATCGAACCCAACTAGGCATTGTAGGTGTGGCCCAGTGTGGCCAGCAGCACCATGCCTACCGCACCGCGGCTGCCGTACTCTCGAAACCGTTATTAGTCCAATCTAGTGCATGCCGATCCATTGATAGCCATAGCCCACTCAAACCACAAACTGCACTGTATTTATTCACATGTTTTGTCAGCTCTGCGGTCGATTGTGTGCTACACGCGTTATCTTCAGCGATCATGTTTTACGATCATCCACATCCATCGAGCTTTTAGCTGTTTGGCACTGCCTTTTCATCAAGCGAATTCACCGTTAACAGCCATGGCATCAACTGCTCCTTCGTTTTTGTCTGCTTCATCGAAGCACACAAATCCCTCCGTAGGCTTACCATAAAAAAGCAAGCCACCATCTTGAAACAAAACCAAAGCAGCCAGTCGCAGAGGCAGAGATGGGAAGGGGGTTTGAAACTGATAAGCACTGTTTCGGACTTCATGAAGAACAAGGCGAAGATCTTGAAAATGGCTGCCAAATCAACCGGAGCTGCAAAGAAGAATTCAAGTCAGGGTGTTTACCCAAAGCTCGAGGAAGCGCTCCTCGTGTGGTTTAATGCCATGATCACCAAGAAAATTCCAGTGTCAGGCGACATCCTAAAGCAGAAGGCGGAGGTTTTTGCGCTTCGGATCAACATGAAGGATGTCAAGGTCAGTTGTCAGGTGATATCCCGAAACGGAAGGCGGATGTTTTTGCGCTTCGGATGAACGTGAAGGATTTTAAGTTCAGTGATGGATGGCTTCGCAATGACTTGAAATTCAAGAAGATGTGCAGGAAAAGCGGCGCCGTCGACGATTTCGTAGTTGCCAAATATCGGAATGGAAGGCTGCAGTCCTTGCTTCAGCAGTTTTTACCAGACGATATTTTCAACTGAGATGAAACCGGACTGTTTTACAAGCTGCTGCTAGAGAAAACACCTGCATTTGCTGGTGACCCCCACCACAGTGGCAAGCATAGCCAGAAGCTTGCATTGCTTGTGATAGGGAAGTCGAAGCATCAAAGATGTTTCAAGGAGGCAGTGTCTGCCTATTCTTTACGAAGCCAACAAGAAGGCATGGGTGACGCAGCAGCTATTCGAAGTGTACGTGCGAAAGCGGCAAGGTTCGTGCAGCAACATCAAAAAGTGCTGCTGTTTGTGGATAACTGCACTGCGCATGAGCACATCAGGACCTATAGGCAGCACAGATTCTACTGTACAGTACGCGTGGGAGAAGAGGGCACATCGCAATAAGCTGGGCGCCGAGCACGCTCATTGCTCCATCTCGCTGGTTATTTAAGATTGGCACCGCTAGCGGTAAATGGTAAATATAAATAGCTTGCCGTTTGAATGTTGCAGGAGTTGTTCCTTCGTGGCTTAGTGGCTAACGCCACGCGCTCAGGAGCGAGAGGTCCGACGTAAGATTCCACGCGCCGAAGTCTTTTTCTGGAATATTTTTTTTTCGTGCATTTTTATATACAGTGGATTCTCAGTAAACGAAACCTGAGGGGACTGGGAAAATATGTTCCATTTAACAGGAGTTCCATTTACTGAGAGGTGAACATGGGTGCAGAATACAAGCCCGAAACCAAGCATTGCAGAGGCAATAGTTCTGTTCAAGCAGTAGTCTCGTTTAACAGTTTTCCGTTTACTGAGAGTCTACCGTATATAGCTACGTACATATGTACGGTGAATGACGGCAGCGACAAACGTCGACGTCGGCGACAAAAACCAGCCGAAAATGTTCATATAGTTGCTATCCCAATAAAAAAACCTTTAAACTAAACTGGGAAGTCACAGCTTACCGAACCATCAGATGCACTGGCACCAACTTTGTCTCCCCGCTGATTCCAGCACACCTCAAAGATGCCACCTGTGCCTTTATAGCTGTGGATCAAGTTGCCACTCTGCACGAGAGAAAGAGGCCAGTGTTTTCATCTGCTGAGCAGCCAATGGCATAAACTTGGTGCACAGCATGTTACAACACAATATCTACAACACAACACGCCACCTCTTGTAAACTCATGATAAAAATATACGAATATGAGCTATGAGCGAGTCACATTATGTGAAATTACCATATTTGCTTGAATGTAACAAGCACCCAATTCTCGCAGGTTCAAAATAAAGATACACATGCATAACTGTTACCAGAGTATAAAGAAACTGCGACATGATGTTCTGCTGACGATTAGCAGCAACTGAGAAACAAGCACTAAGTGTCATTATAGAATGTGAAATTTGTTCTCCTGACATTTTCTTTTTGCCTATTTAGTTTTGTTGGATTTAAAATAAACTTCTGGATACATTTTGATTGCATGACATTATAAGGGCCATAAACTTGAATAGCTTAATCCACATTGATTTGTTTTAGAAGAACGGCAAACTGATGTTTGAAGTTAAGATATTGTAACGTTTGGGACCAGTAGAATCTCCTCCTTTTCAACAAGCAGCTGAACATCGCTTTCTTTGCACAACTCACAGCCATAGGCCCTAGGCACGAAATAAAAATGCAACGCAGGTTTATTTAAAGGGCTCATAACTTTACTTTAATGCAGGCTTTTGATATGAAAGTGGTGTATGACTATTTGCTCTTTATGGGGAGCAGCTATGACATGCACAGCTCACAGTTCCACATGAAATAAATCTATGCGAACTCGCGTCAAGATGTGCTTCATGACTTTGATGACATAGCATGTGACTCCTGTGATGGGAGGCTGCTGCCAACACCAAAAACATAGTTTTGGTTTTGTCGTCGGTTCGAACGTGCAGGCAATTTTTCAGGCAATTGAAAAAAAAAAAAAAAAAGAAGGTGCACTTTAGATTCCAAGTGAATAAAGTATGTTCAATATGTTTAAACATGCTTGAACAAGAGTGCAGACCTGTGTAGACCAGATGTGGACGCACTTGTCAAAGGACCCACTGGCCAGGAACTTGCCATCTGGGCTAAAGGCCACACTGTACACTGGCTCTGTGTGCTTCGTAAGTGTGTACAGGCAGACCCCTCGCTCCACTTCCCAGAGGCGCACAGTTGAGTCAAATGATGCACTGCACATCAAATGCGCACTCTTTTTTTATACCTCCACTCATACAAACTTTTATTTTGCAGATATAAATCCATTAGTAGCATTATCCTTTTTAGCAAAAAAAAAAAAAAAGTTACAAACAAAACTTTCGCTGTCAGGGGCCCTTTAAATGAAACTCAAATGGAAGAAATCCATGAACGTCGCAAATAAGTTCGTTATATCCAAAAATTCACCATAAAAGTTTGTTCCTAACACTATATTTATTGCAAGACTACATTCATTTACTTCGTTATATCCAGGTATGAGTGTATATCCTGGCCAAGTCAACCCAGTGATTGCACGTGTTCCCGTGCACTTCGCAATAATCGACATTTTTTGTAAATTTGAAATAAAAAAAAGAAAGAAAAGGGGCAGCACACTGCACTTTTGCTCACAACGAAAGTAAGGATCATCCAAGAACCGCAACAACCTATTGAAGATAAAAATTGTTAGAAAGTTAGTCCTAATAAGTCTATGCTGTCAAGGACACTCAAGAACAAAGGCAAGATTGAAAAAGCTGTCAAGCATGGGAACTTTGCCACGGAGAAAAGACAGGTGAGAATGATGGCATATTACAGTATAGACCGCTTATAATGCAAGTCGCGGGAGTCGCGAATATCCACACTTCAAGCGATGCAGCACTATAACAAAACAACCTTTTTCAAAAGGTGCAAATTGCGTAAAACATGTTGAGCAAGCAGCCTCGCATGTCTGAAAATAGAAGTATGCGATGCGTGGTGCTTACGACCTTATAAATTTCCAAAAGATGCGCATTGCCAACGAAACTAACAAGAAAGGGGGGGGGGGGGGGAGGTCTAAGAGAAGGCAACATCGCGGAAATTCACCGAATGCTTCTCAGGTCACCTCAATTATGCGTATTACACTGAATGTCAAATCACGTCCAACATTTCAAACTGTGAAAGACGCCAATCGAATCATGAACCACCATTCGAGCCCTACATGTGCCACCCTCATTTTCATTATCAATATGTATTCCTTCCTGTGAAGTACAGCCCCCGCAAAGAGTTTTGTTCATTCAGTACCAAACTGCAACTTAGATTGCACGCGAACGCAAACAAGACCGATTAGGCCTCGCCTGCCGTTCGGTATGTTGTCATGGGAAGTTTGTCCAAGACATGAAGATCCGGCATCTAAAAGATGGCACTCAAGCACTGAACCAAAGACAAGTATACGAAGTTCGTTCATAGCAGGGAGATCCACAACAACGAAAACCTGCCAAGCTTATGTAAAACAATGCACTGGCAGCAAAGGTGAAACCTCGTGCCATGAAGCCGTAAAAAGTTCTAAATTTACGGACGAGTTCTAAATTACGGACGAGTTCTAAATTTACGATCTGTAGCAAGCACGATAACGATGACGCTTTTATCGACAGGAAACTGTTAAGCGCAGTTTATAAGGACGAGATCGCACGTGCCAGGTTGGGCTGCGCGCGGGTGGAGCCACCCTAGTGACGCTGATCTGCGCGCCGGTGCAAAGGTTTATCCGCGGACGAGGCAACTGTTTTCAGCTAGCCCGGCAAGTGTGCCGCAGCCTCTTTTCCTTATCTTTCCCCCCCCTGTCTTTCGTTCGTTCGCATACCCTCCTCCTCTTTCGTAACGACCTCGTCGCTTACTCCCCATCGGCACATCCAACACCCACTCCTTTCAGTCACGTACTCGCTACTGCGATTGTCACAAAGACTTTCCGGCAACTGCATTATAACTGGTCTCTCATCTTGGGGGGACTTCACAATAAACGATATGCGTATGCATGGAGTTCTATGGGAGGGTGAACGGGAGTCGAAAAAAAACCGCATTGTAACAGATTCTGCAATATGAACGGTTACATTATAAGTGGTCTACAATGTAACATGTGCTTTTTCACTGGTTCAAGTGTGCATGAACAGCGGCCCCATTTTGTTTGAGAAGGCCAAAGAGATCGCTTTACTGATTGGGATCGTGGACTTCAAGGCGAGCGATGGCTGGCTGAGCCATTTAAAAAAGCGGCATGGGCTTATCTATTTACGTGACAAATGCCAATAGTTCTCTTTGGATCTCACCTCAGGCATCATTGAGTTCCACCCAACGTATTCAATTCCTTGAGCACATCACTGCAATGCTTCCAATCGAGACATTTCGAAATTGCGTCTACGGGATTCATGACCAATAAATTAAGAGATAGCACCACAAGCATTTTGTTGAGGATAGCATACCTGGCAAGGATGAGACTCATGTTAGGGTTGTTTGTCCCAGGCCCCGTGGGGCTCCACTTGATGGTGTAAATCTCTTTGCTGTGTGCCTGCAGGTCGTGCACACAAGTGTCCTGCTTCATGCTCCATATCTTGAGAGTCATGTCATCTGAGCACGAGGCCAGCAGTGCCCCCTGGGGATCCCATTTGATGGCGTTCACCTCATTGGTGTGGCCCGTGAATGTCTTGACAGGCTTATCAGCACCGAGCTTGCACACATGAATGCACTGGTCTGTCGAACAAGAGGCAAAGCTCGTGTTGCTCTGCCAATCCACATCCAGAGCAGGTGCTGTGTGGAATGCAAATTGCTGCGTGCACTGCCCTGTGCTTGCATCCCAGATTATGGTCGTCTGCATACAAGACAATAGATGCCTATACATTCCCTTCTAAAAGCAGCAGTAAGCCATGCAATAGTTCTTTAATTAATGAACAAACCACTGACCACCAACTATCAAGTAAAGCAGCAAACAGGGTTGACTGCCATTGAGACTGCTCAAGATGAATTTTTAGAGAGGAAAAAGTGAATTTACATATTTTTTTCACATGCACTGGATGAAAAAAAAAGATAATAAAAGAGGGGTGGAGGGTCACAAGAATCATTACTTTAATTCAGCCAAACTTCTGCAACCATACACGCTATCACGCTTGAGCGGGAAGTGATTATGCTAGCTTCCTGATATGTACACTCTGTTCACACATAATAATAATAATATTATTATTAATAATAATAATAATAATAATACAGTGAAATCTCGGTACAATAAATCTCAACGAACTGCTAGAAATAATTCATCATCTTGAAAATTTGTAGTAGTGAAAGTATTGAAAATTTGCACAAAAATCGTAAATGCAAACATGTGAGTCACCTACCTGTAATGTGTATACATTTGTGACAGTGTTATGCTCGAATGAGCGTGAAAAAAACACGAAATATTACGGAATAAGTGCACGTTTATTTGAGAAAAGGTGAACTGCTGAAAAACGAACTCTTAAGCGTGTGCATCCTCTTTACGCACTGCGAAGCGTAAGCGTTAAATACCGATTCTTCGCGTTGGTTCGCACGCACTGTTTCAACGTCGTCTTCGCTCTCGTCGCAGTTTCCCTATCATGATAATGGTATGAATTTTATCGGTTGTCAGCTAAGCTAACGTGCATGCTTCGTCGTTGCACTGTGCGTAGTGTTCGAGCGTTGCATGCATTATCATCGGCGACTCCATCCCACAGGTTACTCATGCCACATCTTTAACTGCCGTAGCATTCCTCTCGAGCTGCTTCTGGAACTCAACTTCAACGTTCAACCACCAACGAAAACGCCAGAAAACAGCCGTGGAACAACAGCGCAGGTCAAGCTGTCCGATGAAAACGAAGGCAACGGAGCAAAGCCTGGGGCGGAAAACATGTACCAGGTGATGGTGATGGCAATAGGATTATCGCACATTTGAACACGGCGGGCAGCTAGAGAAATACGCGGGCGCTCTGATGATGACAATAGTGGCACTTATGGAGCTGGGCATTATTTATAGAGCCTCGAATAACTTTTTTAAATCGCTATTCGTTATTTCGAAGTGTACGGGAATAAAAGGGGCATAAAACTTAATAAATTATTCTGAAACATTTGGTATTCTGAAATTCATTACAGTCGAACCCCGCTACAACAGAACTGACGGGGCACAAAAAAATTTCGTTGAAGCGAAAATTTCGTTGCAGTGAAATCGAAAAAAATATAGCTGATCTGAGCTAGCAAAACAAAGGAACGTTTATTCTCAAAATTCAAAAAATGTCCGCTGCTTACTATGCTTTCCCAGCAGCGTCACGATGTGATTATCACCCATGCATAGCGAGGCCATGGTGAAAAGCATGCTGAAACGACGCCTAAAGCCGCTTTCGTGAACGAACCAAACAGTTGCATTAACACGTTAACACCAGCAGCTGTCCGTCGTCAAAAGTATCCGACAACACCGAGATGGAGGCAGGGTACCGTAGAGCGGCGATTTTTGCATTATTCTATGCCATTCTTATCATCCATCACTCGCGGCTATCTGATTTTATTGATAATGCGGAGGAACAGCCTTTCAAATTTCAAATTTTTTTTTCGCGGTAGCAACTCAACGCTCATCCCTAGGCGACGTCAATATACAAGTTGTGGGCCACCAACCTTGTCAACACCGGCACTGAGAATGTAGTTTCCCTTGCGGTTCCACTTGAGCGCAAATATGGGGCCTTTATGCTGCCCTAAAGTGCTTGCCAGGTGACCTGTAATTATGATGCAACTATGAATTACACTCAAACCTAGATATAAAGAACGTAGATATAATGAAATGTTGGTTTAAATGAAAAATGGTCTTGCAATAGATACAGTAATGAGAATATACTTTCATAACAGTTTTTGCATATAACTGTGTTTACACGTACAATCCTCGGACTTTCTTTCGTGGAAAACCGATGGAAAGTTGGGGGTGCAAGAATTATGCCGGGAAAATTTTCTGCGAAAACGTACAGAGTGAATAAGTAAACAAAGTGGTTGCCAATCGAGATTCTAACACCTGCGACTAACTACGAGCTACGAGAAGTACTACTAAAGATTTACCCTAACAATAACACCACAGGTTTAACACAAGGCAAGACATATTTCAGGCACAAAAGCCGCAAGCAAATAGTAAAGAAATACCGTACACAAAGCTTGCGGGTACTGCAGCCGTAGCTTTAGCGTTTTTCACTCAACCGTTAAACGTTAGCGAGCAACGTCAACCTTGGACTGTTGGCCATCTAACGCGGAATCGTTTGCAGTTGCCCTGTGACGAAACATTTTACCATCCATCCCAGTGTTAGTCACGCGAAAGGCCCAACACGTCTTTGTGGCTTTCAGCGGCTCGTGCTGCCGTCACCAGTAGCGAACACAAAACTCGTGGTCTATGAGGTGCTTACAGGCGGCCCTTCTGCCGTTGTTTAGTGCATGATTAATCACTTTCAACTTGAAAGCAGCCGTGTAACTTTCGTGTTGCCCCATAGTGTAACCACAGAACAGACGCAACATACACAACAAGCGGCAACACGCGCACTTGCCACTTTGGCTTGGCTTGGATTACACTGCAGCTCGTGCTATGACCTCCGAGATTGGTGGCGCACACAGTTACCTCGAAGGTCGTGCTTATGCGTCGATAGTATGCATTATGCTTAAGAGATGGCGCCAGCATTTTGTGCGCTATCCTCATCAGTGTTTTGAAGTAGCAGAAGACATTTCTTCAGCAATTTTTGGGGGATCGATAATTACTCACGGAAAAAAAATCGCATTTTTGTTGGGCAATGCGGGGGGGGGGGGGGGGGGGGGTGCGAGAACTATGAAAGTGCGAGGATTACGCGAGTAAATACAATAACACACTTATTTTCGTCTAAGATGCACCTCTGTTATAATGAGGTTTGAGTGTATACAGGTCTATATAACCATTGATGGATGTGAGGCAACACATACGGCATCGGAATAAAATGCTCTTAGCTTGACATGGCGACACCAACTTGGATGAAATGTCAAAAATATTTTGCATGGATTTGGCCTGCTTTAACGTTCCAGTACAAAATGAACCGCACAAAATGGAATGAACACACGATTTGTGACAAGTGTAAATTGTTTACAAATCTATTTCGTAAAAGTGCAGCCATTTCAAGAAAACTAAAATTATCTAGGACACTACTCATGAAAAGTAGTTTGCAATCCAGCATATGAAATAGTATGTCCCATTTCATCATATTGTTGCCCCTTCACAATATTCCTGGAATAATTTTTGCCTTACACAATACGTGTCCCGCAGTCACATTAAAAAGCTGATCAAGCTGAAGTAGACTTCCGGAGGTTGCGACCTTAACATACTGCTTTTCTTTGCACTTCATTTAAATTAAAAATTATAAACTACTGCACCTTGTAACTTTACATACTGTCAGGTGAGATTCTTTAACTCAGCTTTGTCCCAAATTTCCAAGAGCCTTTGTGAGCACCAATATAGCCTGAAACATGTATGGCACAGTGCTGTGCATTAGATCGCTTGGGAGTAGTAAAAAGTATGAATTAGTCTGCGGAACTTGCCAATTTTTCAGATGATTTCAAGATTCCCTGGAAATACGAAAAATGAGACTGACTGCATAATTAATTAATTAAACATTAGCAATACTTCATTAATAACTACTTCACTGTACTGGAGTAACACCTTCCCTTTTTTTAAAATAATGGTGCTTGCTAGCTGGGACTACCTGCTTATCAAGTTTTCACTAAAAACAGATCAAATAATCATTATTTCAAAATATGACTTGATTTTGGGTAGAGATTCATTACCACTTGAATAATTAGGTGCAAAATAATATTTTTGTAGAATAAATGTGACGCCACACTAGATAACAGGACCAGTGTTCTCACCATCTGTCGTCCATATTCGAGCGAACCCATCGTATGATCCCGTGGCCAGCAGGGTGCCATCAGACTGCAAGCAACACAGAGGCCAAATGAGATTTTTTTTATTAGAAGTAAAAGATAATGCAAGCCAGACAGAAGAAATGCACATTTTAAATGCATAGCCATTGCTATGCTGACACAACGAAACAACAGTATTACTGTTATGAAAGATTTACACCCTAGAATTTTTTAAAGCGCATCAGCGTTGACCCTTGGACATGATAGTGCCTATTATAAAAGGGAAGTCAAAATATTTCCTACACAATGCACAAGCATGCAAGATGCACCTGCCGCGAGACTATTCCGGACAGAAATGATCATCCAAAGAAACAACATACTGGGGCATGCTGCAACCTACAATAAAACTTTACACTTTATAAACTTTTACCATAACAAAATGTACGGCTACTTTTTTGGCAAATTATGGTTAAGTATGCACATTGTGTCAATGAAGTCTCGTTTTATGACACACGAGAGAAATGAAGGGACACCTACATTCCAGTCAAGCGAGGTGACATCCTTGTTGCTGGGCACCTCAGTGCCTCCTTTCTGTATGCAGTGCCTCAGCACTAGTTGGTTAGGGCTGGGACTGTTGTCATTCATATTCCAGATGCGGGCTGTCGAGTCCCCGGACCTGCAACATGTAATACAACGCAGGCCTAGCACGACACAATTATGAGCAGGATATGAAGCTTTTAGCGATTACTGCAAGTTCCACGAAGTGTGCCAAATACATGCTCTAGCCAAGAAGCGTGCAGCGAATTATGGCACATACCCAGATGCCAAGAGATCAGACGTCGGATTCCACGCACAGATGAACACTTCCGACTCGTGACCTTTGAGTATCGTTGCCCGGCTGCTCGGAATTTCCACACTGGCCTCGACTTCCATCGCTTCGTTATGATTTGTTCCTGAAAGGTGACACAATTTACTTCACCAACTGCAGCTGCACTCCCTATTAGAAGACGAAGCAAGAGCTAAAGGTGTAAAAAAAAAAACAACTGTGATGAAGCGTACAGTACATTTAAGATAGTCAGTGTTAGAACGACACAAATAAGCATAAATAAATGAAGTGTTCAGTACAACTCTAACTCCTTTGAAAACTTCACTATAGCTTTTGATGTCTACAAAGGTTGTAAATAAAAAAATTCACTAGGCCTCTGAGTTTTATTTTACATAAGCAGGCCAAGCAGTTCCATTGCTCTCTCTGCAAGATGCACCATAGTGTTCTTGCTGGACTGATTGACCTTTGTTGTAATATTGATGACTGGTTTCCCATATTTACGGATTCCACCTGTAGGTCCTGTTACTCCTGTTACCACTGAAGCTGCAAAAATGCAAACTTTTGGATCCCTTGGATGAAATGAAAGCACCTCTGTTAGATTGATAGAGGTTGGACAAGATTAAAAATATTTCAAGTGCCGTGATCGAACGGCCCAGTAGCTTACATATTTGCTAGGGTTATTACGTAATATGAGCTGCTCTCACTTCTATCAATCTTGAAAATAGCCAACCTGCACCAAAAATAAGTAAAAACCAAGTAAACCAACCAAATGAAATTTTATCCTGTCATCAGCCCGAAACAGCAGACAAACCTGGAAACCCTACTGGCAATGGTCAATGAGGGATCTTTTAACAGACACTTCTAAAGATAGCAAGGACACAAGGTTAAAAAAGATCCTTTCAATTTCGGAAGTGTAACTCTTTCGACAGATTTCTCACCTTCACCCCCCCCCCTCTCTCTAAACACTCCTATTTTTGGCTGAAAAGCTTTTTTTCAGTCAGTAAGTTGTGAGTGAACACACACCTCGAGCGCTCTGTGCTCTCCAAACTTGACTTTTTTTCTTCATTAAAGAAAAAAACTATGTAACAAGAATAAAAACGTTTGCCTCTCTGTAATCAGTAATAAATAAGAAATGGTCTTGTCACTATTTTAACGCTGTTTTTCTAGCCTTGGCAATTTGAGGTCGCAGCACACATTTTTTTTTTCAACACTACTAGCTACATTACGCCTCGTGTATTCCATATGTGTTGTTACGCCAAGGGAAAAGAAGGCCTTTAGGAAGCACAAGTCTTGTGGCAACAAACAAAGGTATCTCACAAACGCGAGTGAATACTAGCGACATACTGAGCCACCAAACACTGCACCAGCAAGCTATTCAACCTCCTTTGAGGTGTGCATGGCCACTTCTTTACCTGCACCAGTTTTAGAGGCATTTAAGCGTGTACACAGGCAGCCACCTCAGCCTGAGCTGCTGGAGAAGCGCTTTCATAGACGAAACCAAAATGCAAATGAATCATTCAATCACACTGTCCCAGAACGAGGCCTGAAAAATGTATTTGTTGGGCTTCGCAGTCTTAGGATCGCAACATTGGATGCTGCTTTTTCATACAATGATGGCACTACGGCACGTGTCTACGTTTGAAAATCTTTAGGGCTTAAAGCCTAGGCACAACACAGTCAGATTATCGAAGAGGTTGATCACAATTGGCAATGCTTTGCAGACAAAGCTGCACGACCGCTCACGAAAGAGGCAAGACAAGCAAAACGACATGTTGAAAAGCGATAAAAACGACTTTGACGATGATTGTTGGTCTGATGGCTACAAAATAAATTACATGAACAGTGCCTGTGTTAAAAATTGTTTACGTTTAATGTTTGTTTTTTTCTCTTTTAAACTCAATTGTCTTAAAAACCATATTTTTTTCTAACCTAGGTGCAATTACTTTCAATGTATTCTAAGGAAAGGACACAACTATCGACGTAAAATTAAAGCTTTACACCAAAGAGTTTGTGTTAAAAGTTTAGAAATGCACGCCTCGGCACGGTGTCTCGGCATGGACGCGCAGGGCTGTGCCGCGCTGCGCTGCGAGGGTCCGCAGCCATAAAGGGTCCCGTTGCTGGGGCAACCTTCCCGTGCCCTTCGAAATCCCCGCTGTCTTCATCGCAACATCCTGACATCGCCCGAAGCGTGGGCCCGAACGGCCTCGAAACGGACAACGCCGATCACCGTGCTTTCTTTATTCGGCCACTGATGTACATGCGTGCACGGCCGAAGGAAGTGGAAAGCCTGCAGTGACGCCAGGTTGGCTGCTTCGTATACACTTTGCAGCTTCCCTTTCGCCATCTGCGTGCCGGCGAGATATGCGGAACACGCTCGTTAATTAGATTTCCTTTTCGCCGCTGGGCTGGACCTCCGTATACGCTGACGATCTAACGTGGCTCGGGAGTATTTCCTCGGCCGAAATTATATGCACAACGTGGCACATGTTATGCAGAGCAAAACGGTATAGTAGCCGCGTTTGTTCGTTTGAATGTCATATACTGCTACACTCATTGAAGGGCCGCAGTTGCGCGGTTGTGGCGCCTATATGAATGACCCGTGAGACCTTCATCGAAGCAATCGTCGGAGTCGACTGGATATTCGATAAATGCTGCGCGCTTCTTATGCACTAACATCATTTATATACGAAATTTCCAATATGATGTGCCTGGCGATTTCACCACTCTTTCAGAATGTCGGTTCGAACCTGCTTGGTGCGCCCCGCCGCGGTGGTCTAGTGGCTAAGGTACTCGGCTGCTGACCCGCAGGTTGCGGGATCGAATCCCAGCTGCGGCGGCTGCATTTCCGATGGAGGCGGAAATGTTGTAGACCCGTGTGCTCAGATTTGGGTGCATGTTAAAGAGCCCCAGATGGTCGAAATTTCCGGAGCCCTCCACTACGACGTCTCTCAATCATATGGTGGTTTTGGGACGTTAAACCTCATGAACCAATCAAGTTTAGAAATGCACAAATTAAGTCAAAATTCAGACACTAGTGAAAAAATATTACGCAAGAACAGTAACATTACTGAGAGCTTAATGATTCTCCTTAACCTAAAAAAGCACAAAATTTAGAAAAAGAAACGATATATGCATTATGCAAATACCACATGTAGTTCCCGAGAAAGGGGTACCTCATCATAATCGAAAATGCATGGTAGGTATAGGGCCTACCTGGTGCCCTTGAGCCTCTACAAAAATTTTTGCACATCGTAACTCTTGCAGTTCACACAAACTTGATTGTGTCTGCAATTGGCTCTTTAGCTCATTACATTAAGCTCCCCAATGAAACAACAGAGCCCTCCGAGTCTTTGGTGAAGTATAGGCATGTGATCAACTTTCAGCAGCACTTCTCGCTGCTTCTGAATCAGTCACAACACGACACTCACCGCCAAAGTTGTGGGTAGTATCCTCGCCATTGGTGTTGCTTGGCTCTGCCTTAACTACTGCATTCTTGTTGTTATGGGCCTGCTGCTGCCGTGATGCCACCACATCAGGCATGACGGCATCGATCAGAGAGAGGGACTCAATCATTCGCTCTGAGCCATCCTGGGAACGAAAAAGAGGATGAAAGATAACTCATGGTGGAGATCGCAACATAGATATTGTAAACGGGCAAGGGTGCCTATTTTTTTTTTCTAGCAGCAAAGCTGTATATGGCTCAAGTTCAGTGTAAGAACTCAACATGACAGTCTGTCCCTCCATCATGAGGTGATCATCATCATTAAAGCAGCCCCGCGGCGCTTTTTTTATCAGCATTCTGCAGAGCTGGAATGTGGATAGGGCTGAATACTGAGATGAACACAACAAGGATTATCAATATTGGTGCAGGGTAACGGAAGTTGTTCGTCTTCAAACTTCAAAACCCCAGCAGATGATGAGAAAAAACGTTCCCTTCCGCATTTCACATTCGCACTGATGTTAAAGACCAGTTCGAATCGCCACACACACCTCTTGAAGAGGCGTAACTGAATTTACCTTGCAGTGGCAGTTGTGGAGTGCACCTAACGTCGTTTCAGAATTGTTTTCAACATTTCATACTTAAAAACCAAAATCATTTTGCATCTTTAGAAGCATAAGGAGTGCTTTTTACAATTTTCAGCATACAACTGCACACATAGCTGCAACCTTTTCACTTACCACACTGAACTGCAATATTGCATCTGCCAAAGCAGCTTTCAGAGTGAACAATGATGCGTGCCTTTCTTTTGGTGCAAGTGCCCATATCGCTACATAAAGACATTTATTTTTCTAGAAGAACTTGCTCCTGGAAAAGTTGGTGCATATGTTCGCTAAACATAGGTTCCACACAATGCTTGAAAGGTGAATAAAGGCCCAAGAATAGATGGAGAAGTGCCAAATACCAACTTTTTATAATACCTTATTGTGTCACATCTTTTCCAAAACAAAACTACATCAAGAAAAAGCAGTATAATTGCCATTATTCCAAAATGCGTACCCACAAGAGAGGAGCAAGGGAAACAGCACACATGTGCAACCGCCTTATCACAGGAAAGACGAGTCAACAAGAAGGCTACTTATCCAAATTGATTACTAGTTGCTTCCTTATCTGTCAACGTTACAGAGGGAACACTATTCTAAGTGGTTGAGTTTCCCCTGTCTAACTTCCATGATCTTTCTGGCCAGTGAGTTTAGACTGGCACAATACATTAATGCTCATAGACTGCCGATTGCGCCGGCAATCTTTGCAGTGCAGACAAAGGCGAGTGCTACGTGCAGGAGCCTTCAATGACAATTGCATGCTTTTCAAGTCACCATCTTTAACGGTACACCGCATTCATGTTCCACATGTGGCAAACAGTTTCGTTTCACTTCACGCATCCAGATGTAGGAAATACAATAAAAGAAGTGACCTACCTCTCCAATGCTGATTTCAGCCTCTGTATACTGAAGACCCTTCTGAATAATGGACAGCAATGCAGCAGGAGGAACCAGAGCCCCATTGATATTGGACTGACTGATGTGGCTTTCGATGCCGAAGGTGTAGGCGGAGTGAACGAAACCTGCACAGGGGAACGCCTACTTCGCACCTGAACCCACCACCGACGATGACGTCGCACTTACCCGATTCTTGCAGATACCGGTAGACAAGAAAATTGACTTCATCGCTGCTAAAACTCATTTTTCGTCATGAATACTCCTTCAGTGCCTTCTGCAAGCAAGCGAAAGGGTGCTGAGAAGATTTGTCAAAAGATTACAGAAAGAACATGCAAATCTCGGTAAGTTGTGCGCAAATCATGCGCATCAAAACAAGGTTGTATTAATGATCCGTGTGAGCCAGATGATCACCTCTTAGCAATGTCAAGAGAGAGGTGCGGGCCAAACACTAAACGAGCGGGACATTGAAGACCGACGGTAACAAGGTCGCGTAAGAGTTGCACAGGCCATCTAGGCCAACAACAATCAGACGATATTGATGCATCTGCAAAGCACGCGCCAGTCTGCATCCGGTCAGAGGTGCGCCGACTGCCGGTCACAAGTAGCGGCACGCGCGTCAGCGCGGCAAGACAGCAGTTGTATCCACAAGCACACAGTCTTCAGAAGAGAAACACCGGCGGCACTCACGGATCACTAACACCGAGTGAGAAACCAAGTACAATGTTTTGTGCTAGGCCTACTCACCCGTCAAACTCTGGTCAAACCGGGCTGGAGACTGAAATATGTGCCGCGATGAAGACCGCGGAAATTGGTGCGCCGTAGTTGCTGTTATCTTGTGCCGGACGGCTTGTGTAGAACTATGTGTATACGGCGTCCAATATGGGTTGCACAGCACCAAATAATTTAATAACCAAACTATCATCCATCGCCGACCGCAAAACGAAATAGCCCAGCGGCCGCGAAAAGCAATGGCGACCTCTGTCGCCAGCAGCGCGACACATCATCGTAGCGCTGCTATCGCTGCTCTCACATTAATGACAACTCGAACTTTGAAATAAACGTCGTGCTGCCGAATTTAAAAAGTGAAGCATGAAGAATGTGTTACACTACTTTTAGTAGATAGTGCGCGAGTACTAAAACCTAATTGCTGAAGTGAAAGCAATTCCGAAAGTGAAGAAGCCTCCGCCATCTTACTGGGGGCAGTATTAATAGGGCACCTTAGTAGCCTTTTTTTTTTCCCTTCGACACTTAAATGCAACTTAAAAATATACTCCTACTCAGATCGCAAAAAGAATGCCCGAGTATGTCACTACAACTAACGGTCTTTTCATTTTACACCAGAATCTAATCGCACCAGAACGTGCGGTTAGATTTACGCCTCGGTATAAGCAAAATTCTCGATATAAAGAAGTATTTGTTTTCCTAACCTAATGTTCATATAACACCATGTGTCAAAGAGATGTCACTGCCACCACATGAAAACCTGGCAAAAAAATAAACTTTTGATTGAACCAATGGTTACATCGCTGAAGCCTGCAGGCCTGCACGGTTTTTCTGGATGGCTTTGAGGCTGCGGAAAAGGCTGCTTGTTGGCTTTGCTTTCAACCCGTATCTTTTGCCTTCACAGGGGTAGCACAGATCACGCGGTCAATGCGCAGCATGTGTGAATCTTTGTGCAAGGTGGCACAGTTTTCGGTACTTTGCCGCGCGTGTCATATGGGCAGCTGTAGATGTGGTAACAGTAACGTAAAAGCTCCAATTTTCCTTGAAAACAGTAGTGATTGGCCCCGAAGAACATCTATCACCTGCTTGACCTGCCCAGTTACTGGCTGCACCGCTACCAGCTCTATAAATATGGATCGATGCTTTGCTATAAAAGGCGGCTTAGAATTTCGAGAAACAAATAGGTAAATCTGTTTCAATTGGGCACACAATGCCCATACGAGGCCACCATAAATGGAGGAGTTGTGGTTACTACTTTCACGAGATTATTGATCACTGCTCCATTGTTTTTGATGGGTGTGATCGCTTTCAATATTGCACATTAATCAGAAGTTGTTGAGCATTGGCTTTGCAGCTATCTGGGCAATACGAGAGGTTTCGATGGCAAAACACAGCGACAATTCAATAACTCCGCTTAAACCTAGTATTTTTATTTATTATGTACAGTGTTGTGAAGGTTCTCTGCCAGCACTGCATAGTTGCGCGGCAACAGCTCTCAATAATCGGAATGTTTCAGGTTGCAGTGATATGCAAAAATTTTTATTTAGTCAATACTGTCGGTCCCTCTTGTCCAGCACTTCCGTTAGCTGATGTATTGATCTGCTGCAAAGTCTGTGAGCAATTTAATTTATATCTTCAGCATATGCCCTGTAGTTGTGCCATGGATGCTGTTTCTGTAATGTTATGCTGTCAGGATCGTGATATAGTGTGCGAGATCACATTGTGTTTATTTATTTTGCAAGGGAGTTTAATGGCAACGCCAGGTAGTAGGCAGACAGCCGGTACGGACACAAATACTCGAGCAGTCCAGCGTCTACAGCTCGTGCACACGCTCGCACTTCGCACTCAGAGATGGTTCCACTGGTCGTTGCCCTGCGAATTCCGCACTACAATTTATTTATTTATTTATTTATTTATTTTACCCTCAGGGCCAAATGGCATTACAGAGGGGGTGGGTTAATTACAATAAAATATTTAAATGAACAAAAAGCAGTGAATACGGTTATATCGTACAAATAAATCTCTTAAAAGTACAATGTCTGCTAATATACTATATAATAATACATGTCGGGTAATACAACACCGAACTTTATTATACAATCTTAGCTATTGCAACAAAAAGAACTTATTACACAATGTTAGCTAATGAAACACGGAACAAGTTGTTATCACTAACAGCAACAATGTCACCGGGAAGTCTGTTCCACTCCTTTGATGTGCAAGGCAAAAATGAAGAAAGTTTTTGTGTTACATGAAGGGATGCCTACTCTGTGATGGTGGTCAATGCGGCGGGATATGTGCCATGGGTGAAGTAGTAGTTGGTCATGCAAGATGGGATGATTGTATATCTTGTGAAATAGAGTTAAATGGGCGACTTTTCTACGAGATGCTAAGAAAGGGAGTGCAAGATAAGTTTTAATGGTTGAAATGCTCGCGGTTCTGTTATAATTGGACAATATAAAACGAACGGAGTTATTGTGAACAAGCTCAAGGGAAGTTACCAGATTATTATAGCCGGGGTCCCACACGGTGGTAGCATATTCTAATTTAGAGCGTATTAGTGTTTTATAAAGCTGCAGTTTTAAACTATGTGGGACGTTGAAAAGTTACGTCGTAAATAGCCAAGTATGCAGTTAGCATTGTTAATAATGTATTCAATATGAGGTGACCAGTTGAGGTTAGTTGCTGTGTTAACTCCAAGATACTTATAACAGTTACTAACTGTTATAAGTATCTTATAAGTATCTATAAGAACAACATTCTTTTGGATTCTTTGAAAAAATCCAAAAGAATGTTATTAAGATAGTAAACCGGTGAAGTTGTGCAAGTTCTTGATACACGCATGATTTTACACTTTTTAATGTTTAGGTCCATTAGCCATTTTTCACACCAGTTAGATATAGCGTTAAGGTTAGACTGCAATATATTAATGTCATTACCGCTAGTAATTTCTCGAAAAATAACAGTCGTCAGCAAATACATGAATGTTAGATGATACAACTGATGATACGTCATTAATATAAATGAGGAACGACAGGGGGCATAAGACGGAGCTTTGCTGAACGGCAGAATGAACTTAGCGAAAAGAAGAATTATGACCTTTTGTAGTAACGAATTGTGATTTGTTAGTGAGAAAGCATTCAATCCACATTACTAGGTTACTGTCAAGATCTACATGTAGTTGTCTTAGTTTGTAAAGTAGCAGTCTATGACAAACCTTGTCAAAAGCTTTTGAAAAATCTAGAAAAATACAGTCAGCATGGGATGATTTATCAAGGATCTGATGTAAGTGTTGAGTGAATGATATTAGCTGTGCTTCACATGAATATGTTTTACGGAAGCCATGTTGTGCTGACGTGAAAAATAAATTTGATTCTAAAAAATTGACTATGTTTGTAAATATTATATGCTCGAGCATCTTACAATTGTGAGGAGGTTTATTAGTCATTAAAGAGAGCGGCGAGACAGTGTGAAGAACCGTCCAGAGATCGGCACAGCAACGAACCGAAGCACGAGCTGAGAGAGCCGGGCGTTGGCGATGATGATCGCTGCAGGCACATCTTCTTCACAATCGCCCCCACTAAAGAAGGAGCCATCCTGGCGACCTAAGAAGTTTCAGGTAGAGGCTCATGATACGGTTTCAGGCGGGAAACATGGACGATGTCACGTGCACGCCGGCGCATGTCATCCGATCGGGTAGCTGGCTCAATTAATTAATTAACCGGAGAGTTTTTCTCCAAAACGGAGTAAGGCCCCTCGTACCGAGGGACAAGTTTCGATGGGAGACCCGGAGCTTGGTATGGGCTAGCAAGCCACACAAGGGACCCTGGGGCATAGCTGGGATCCGGAAGGGAGGCGCTACGGTTTTCTTTCTGGCGTTGCTGCTCGTCCGAGGTGAACGTACGGGCGAGCTGGCGGCACTCTTCGGCTTGTCGAGCAGCATCGCAGATAGGTGGACATTCGGAAGCATCAGGACGGTAGGGAAGTAGAGTATCAATTGTATGGGAAGGGTCACGTCCATAAAGAAGAAAGAAAGGTGAAAATCTCGTGGTTGTTTGTATTGCAGTATTATATGCGAATGTGATGTATGGGAGAACACGGCCCCAGTTGCTATGATCAGATGCCACGTACATTGAGAGCGTGTGCACCCAACGTGCGATTAAACCGTTCCGTTAGCCCGTTAGTCTGCGGGTGGTATGCTGTCGTTTTCCGATGAATGACGTGGCATTCCGAAAGCAGAGCTTCGACGACCTCGGAGAGGAAAGCGCGGCCTCTGTCACTAAGGAGCTCTCGAGGTGCGCCATGTCGAAGGATAAAGCGACGTAAAATGAAAGAGGCGACATCTTGAGCGGTAGCGCTCGGCAAAGCGGCTGTTTCGGCGTACCGTGTTAGGTGATCGACCACCACTATAATCCACCGTTTGCCATCTGGTGTCAATGGAAGCGGGCCGTAGAAGTCAACGCCAACGCGATCAAATGGCTTGACAAAGCATGGAAGTGGCTGCGATGCGCCAGTCGCACGTAGCGGTGTTGATTTGCGTCACTGGCAGTCAGGACAGCACTGCACAAATTCGCGTACAAAATTGTACATACCACGCCAGTAATAGCGATGGCGAAGGCGTTCATATTGTCACCTACTTCTAGTAGTGGGTCGTATGCCAAGGTGAAGGCTCACACCACAGAGAAGAAAGAAGTGCACGTGGGCCCCCGCTCTGGCAAACATAGAACATTGGCTGGATGGATTGATGTTGAACCTGAATACCGGTAAATGTGCTATTCTCGTTTTTCCAATCAAAGATCCCGTGCACATATCTATTAATTACAAGCTTCAAGATATCCCACAAGTACAATCATTGAAATATCTTGGAGTTATGTATAATGAACATCTAAATTGGCGCCCTCACATTGAATACATCGCGACAAAAGCAGTACGCGCGATGGGCGTATTGCGGAGGTTGAGCAACTGTAGATCAGGTATGAGAAGAAAGGCACTTTTGATTATATATAAAATGTATGTCCGACCTGTGTTGGAGTTTGGCTGCATTCTTTTTTCTGGTGCGCCAGCCTACAAACTTCGGCCGCTCGTTCTGTTGGAAAGAGAGGCTTTACGGCTCTGCTTAGGACTTCCAAAGTATACTGCAAATTCAGTGTTATACCTTGAAGCACGAATACCAACCTTATTATGTCGCTTTAACATTCTTACTGTGCAGACCTTTTTACGACTATATGAAGCACCGTTTAACCCTGAACAAATT